ACGCATATTAACTTATCAAAGAGATTCTTCCTCTTATCAATTGTTACTTTCGAGAAACAAAAACCAAAATATGTTTTTGGCTTGTCTGTTCTTTTCTAGATAAACTTTTCACAATTAAAACTAAAGAAGATTTTAGCATGGCGTCGCAGAAAATCTTAACATCACACAAACAGTGTTCCGGATATATCATCAGCAGGACTAATGAGGTTGAGTCGTAAATACAAGGCATTCTGGTAGTAACAATTCGTTGAGTAATATGTCATTATACAATTCTGACTATTGTTTAACTGTTTTAACTCATTCATCCCTGAAGACACATTTGAACTCTTCCTATTCAAAGCCTGGAATAGTTCATAATGAAATTTCAGGGGTGAATGAATTAAGGTAGAATTAAAACATTTAACACAGAATGAATGTAACAAGGAACAGATGAAGAATACTAACCGTATATTTGTAAGGGATTGGCAAACAGCAGCAGGTTTGAAGAGATACAATGGGCTTCATGTATTGTAATGAAATAACCGAAATAAGAGTTTTTGATGAAGTTTGCAAATATGAAAAACTTACAAATTTAAATATTAATAATCGTTTGATACAAAGATAGACCTCTTAACACTGAACAATAAAACACAATGTCATTTATTTTTGCAATTTCATTTTAATTCTCTGATCACAGTTAGGCAAACCACTGCAAAAGCATTTGCCAAGAATTATTTCATTAATAAATTTTGTAAGAAGTTTAAAGTAATGGAAACAGTATACATGTAATCACTCTTTCTTTGAATTTGTATTACTATTTTTTTACCAAACAAAACATGAAAATTTTCTCAAAAAAACCCCATCTTTCATCAACTTTTGAGCTTAATGGATGAATTTACCATAATACTCTTTCTTTCAATTTGTATTACTATTTTTTTACCAAACAAAACATGAAAATTTTCTCAAAAAATAACATCTTTCATCAACTTTTGAGCTTATGGATGAATTTACCATAATACATCCTTTCTATCTATTAAAGCATACTATTCCTCCCAGCAAACATGACTTGATATCCATCTACATGCTATGCAACCCCAAATGTTTACCAATAAATAGGCTTTTATCATATACAAACTAATGCACCAGGATATACTAGAATAGATAGTTGACAAATTGATATTTTTTCAGTACATGTATTAAACAATTTATGGATGTTTTTAAAATTTCAAACATAAATGTCCTTTACTAGCTGGTTAATGATAAATACAGATGTTTAAACATACAAGACGAGAATTACCATATAATAAACTACCTTTTCCTTTCAACAAATTATGGTCAATATTGGCAATTTGTTGCTGTGTTGTATTCATTTTTAATGTCTAATTTCATTTTGTAATTCATTTTAAGTTATTGTCAGAAAACATCTTAACAGATCATTAACTCATTCACCCCTAAAGACACATTTGAACTCTTCCATTTCAAAGGTTGGAAAAGTTCATTATGAGATTTCAGAGGTAAATGAGTTAATGCAAATGAAATGCACGAACAAAATATTAAATATTGCTCACACTGGCGACATGCATAAAATCAGGGTTAGCAAGTTGATATTACAAAAAAAAAAAACTGTGGCAAAGTCATATCGTAGAATTCCACCATAATAATGTACAGAAGGAACTATATATCAACAGTGAAAAAATAAGCAGCATTAAAACTGCATAAATAAGTCTTTATTTAAAAATGTACATCAACAATAAATAAAGCACAACGAGCAGTGTGATGATCTAATCTACACAACTTAAACACATCACAAAGCAACTGGAGATCATTTAATATCGTTTAACATAGGTCGTACCTTACACATAAAACGGCTCAGGTCTGGGGGAATAGGTGCTTTTTTGCAACATGAAATAATTGCTTGAAATGTATCCAGATTTTTTTTACGATTTTAAGGGGATGAGTTGACTATAAAACTAAATCTTTAAATCTATGGTGATCTTTAACATTTGTGCAGTGTGAATTAAAGTTAATATTTTCCTTTCGAATATGTTGTTCGCAGGAAAAAAAGGCTCCATAATTTTGATACATGTACTAGATGAATACTTCTGTTCCATATTGTAATATCTTAGCTTAATGGAATGCACTTAAGGGTGGAACACTGGAATAATATGTATCTCCACAATATTGTACAATTCCTACAGTTCAAATGTTTGCTCAAATATTTGTACAGTATACAACATTTCTTGTTTATAGTTTAAAGGTCATGGGAAGGCTGTATATTTCGATAATAATATCAACATTTCATATACAAGTTGAGCTGCATTTCATTTTGGATTCATAACAACAAAAAATATTTAAAAAGTACTTACTTTAGTATACATAACAGATTATTCCTTAATTACTATTTGTTATAACAAGTACAAAATAATTCATTTTTTCCCTGTAGATTAAGATGAAAAGTTCAATAATTACAGATAACCAGGTAGCTTATGTGTATAATATTTATGTAAAGAGTAAAATAACTGATAACACTTATATAAATACACAGGTAAATTATTTATAGTAAAACAATCATTTAAGACTTCACCTCATATTTTTCTCTGTATTTAAATTCATTTGACATTAATCTACTTTAAAAGAATGCAATTTTTTGTCTTTTTTTATCTCAATCTTTCTGACACAGACGCCATATATTTTCTGCCAGTTTTTTGTTCACCAAATTATTCACACAAAAATGTTGTGTATTTTTAGGAAGCAATCACATCATGATATTTAATCTAATCTATAGAGTTAAGGAAGATATCATGTGAAAAATGCCCAGTCAAAAAACAACATTTAACAGTGATGAATGTAAAAAAAAAAAAATGTTTGCCTGTAAAAAAATTCTATTATCTGTAAATTGGATATGTAACACCCGAAAAACTCCAAAAAATGTATAAATTGAGAGTAAAAAGTTTAGAGGAAATTAAAGATACTATGATAAGGTTCATGTATTGAAATGCATAGAGGTAATGTCTTGTAGTACACTCCAGTATATGTCTATAACAATGGTAATTTGTAAAATATATTCTTGACTAATTAAAAAGGCCTAAATATGGATGAAATACATTATACAAAAGAGTAACAAGAGTTAGCATATATTGTGTTACATTGTATTATAATAAGAGATACGTTTTTCATAATTCAATAATTTCGAAAACTTTAGTTAATAATAATAAATCATATGATATTCAGACTTTCATGATTAATTGTAAAAATGTATGACTGTACATATTGTGTCTGAAATCTAGTTTTAACATTAGACTAGCTGTATTAACATGCTTTAGCTACTTTAATATAACAGTTGCAACAATATGCAAAAACAATACAAAAGGTTGCTGTTTAAAGGTGTAAAATACTGGTGACAATGACTGTGTACCAACCTTTCATAATGTAACAGCACATCATTCAATTATATTTAACTGATAAATGATTTAATAGATAATACCTATAACTTCATTATATTTATTATACATATATATGGCTCTCCTATCAGATAACTGGCCATCTCAAATTTAAACCATAATTGTTAAAACCCACAAATACCCAAAAAATACACACAGACATGTGGCTATTTTAGCCATGTTAAATGGTGTCTACACTTTGATGTACCACATGTAACAATACCTAGAAATATGAAATGTCTTGTTTTTTCAAAGAAAAAAGAGGAAATGAAAAATGTTGTTTTGATGTTAAAATCAGAACAAATACTTGGGCTAGCTAGTATCAATCTGCTTGTTGCAAGATAACACTGACAACATATCGGAGGAATCTGCATGCATACTAAATTCAACTAGACAAACTTAACATTGTGGTAAATTCAATTTTCCCACATACGTACAACTTTCAAATATTTGTGTACATATATCATTATGTACATATCACATTTTCAGACAATATTTCTGACTATAATCCTTTTTTTCTAGTACTGTACCAGGTACACGGTAACTGTAAATTGTCTTAATTAGGAGCTGAATTTCCAACTGCTCTAAACACATGTACATAATTCAAAATGTAAAAGTTCTGTTCTGAAATCAATATTTTTTAAATAATATGATCTCAGGGTTTCCTAATCTCCAATCATTCTTTGTAAATATTTTCCCCGGGTTTTTATGTCCCAAATAACTCTTTCCTTGATATGCCTTATAAACAAAATAAATCTTACATGCAAACAAATAAACACTTTTTTGTTTTGCAAACTAAAGCAAAAATTAAGCAAAGCGGAAGGAAAACTTCAATAAAGTCACAAAATCTGAGATTTAAGAATGTTTTCATGAAATACTGATAAAAATTACACAGTCCTTTTTGACTGTCATTATCTGTTTAAAGCACGATTCAAATAAATGCAAAAATCCAGGTGTGCAAAGCCTATATAACCTAAAGGGCTATTCTAATATAACATAATATCTATTCACATCGCCAAGACATTTTGTCGGGATACAAAATAATCGTTAAAAGATAAGAAACAGAAAATAAGGAATACATTTTAATTTTGAAATCTGAATAAATAATTTATCAACCATTTATAAATTATGCAACCTTGCTGTACCATGTATTGATTTTTGAACGATACTTTCACAACATGAATCCTGTAAAAAATGAACCCATGGAAATTAATTTGAACTTAATAGTCAATGAATGTATGACATTCTTTAAAGCTACATAAAAACACATGTATATATGATAACAATCAGGATGTACAGTACATTTCCCTCAATCAAAATGTCATGCCTTTTAATGTCACCTTGGTTAATACCATAATGCTTTTTCAAACATTATTTAACTTCTATTATTAATAATACTTGCTTTAATAGGATCTTTCAAGTGATCTTTGTTCTAATATCACTTATGTTTGACAGTCAACAAAAAGTTATGAAAAGAATATAAAAACAAAGATCACATGAAAGATCCTATCAAAGCAAGTATTATTAATAATAGAAGTTAAATACTGTTTGCAAAAGCATTATGATATTAACCAAAGTGACATTAAAAGGCATGACATTTTGATGAAGGGAAATGTACTGTATTTCCTGATTGTTATCATATATACATGTGTAGGGTCTGGTGTTGCACCCGAATGCATTATGTGAACAACATTGTTCGATAAAGCTAATCTTTAAACACGTTACGGAAGCTGACTGTAACACAAATCCCGGGTAAAATGTAAAAGGTAATATATATATACCATTAAAAACGATAAGGCTCTGAACTTCTGGATCTTACACTTGATATGAAAGGAACAAAACAATGCAAACATGCAGGGGTTTTCAATAACACAATTTATTTTCGTGATTAGATTCACTGCAAATGAAAGGTGGTGGTGGTGGTGGGTTGGGGGTTGGGATGGGGGCACCACAGATAACAACAGAACAATTTGATAACATGCATTTAAGAACATTTAAAAACAGAACTGCTTAAGAAAGAGAAATTAAGAAATGCAAATTGTGACAATATGATAATACCATTTTTTGACTAGTTTTGCTGATGAAGCACTGGAATATAAGCATTTAATCTCCTGCTAAAAAAGTGATCTGCAGTACTAGTTACAAAAAAACACCTTTTAAAGCTAGTGCTATTTTCACATCCAAATCAATGCTAAACAATTTCTGTGTGCAAAAGTCTAGATCTCTGAACTATAATCATGATTAGACTAAAGTCTCTACATTCTTTGCATGAATTTCTGCATAACGTAAAAATATCAAAACTAGACAGTTTTTGATGATTTTCTAAGACATATTTTGACATAAAAATGGCATTCATTATCGACCACAATGACAGACAAGCAAGCTTAGTTGCTGTAATAACCTTCGTCTCTTAACAGGACAGAATGTTCCTGACTAAAAGAAGACAATTCTTTTACGAATTCCTCCAGAATTAAAGCACAGTACACTATATTACGCGTCTTGGACGAGTCCATTGGATTAGAGGGTACAGGTTCTGGCAGTTTCTGTCTGTGTACATATCGGTATCCCCGGCCAGGTACCATCTCCATCTGAGGAGCTCCCCTTCGTGGAGCGGCTATTGGTCGCTTTGTCCCCACGGGGGATCGTCTGAACAACAGGTCCGTCAGACTCAGTTTTTTCTTTTCTGTTCAAAGAAACAAGAAGGATGTTTTTATTATATGTCTAAGTTTTGCATATGAACTCAAATACTATGACCTGTTGTGACATCTTCAAATGGGTGGGTGGGTGGGTAGTGACATACCTTTGATTTGTATGTTGACATTATTTATTGGTGACGTTTTGGGTGTGGTAGGGGTGGTGGATACATTCTGTGGTAGAAAGCTGTAGTTCCGCCCTAGTTTCCAGTTCTCCTCGCGAGTTGCCAAGTTTTTCCTCGCTTGTAATAACAGGTCTTCAAAGTTTGGAAGCGTGTAAGAGTAGTTGTCTACCTTCTGTCGCACTGATGTAAGGACCTGGAAAAAATCACAAGTCATCCTCAACAGAAATACAGACATTTAGTACTTCATACTGTAGAAACCCCCCTACGGAGGTAGTATAGGATGAGGATTCAAGCACACACTAGTTTATGCTGAGTGGCAAACAAATGGTAAATAAAGGCAGGAATATTGAACATGAGCATAGGATATTTTATTTTCATTTAATATTAATCATTCTAAAATCAAAGGATAATAAACATATACATGAACCTTTAACAGGAGTTTTTTTCTTATACTAGTGCCAATCTTACCCATCTCATTCAAAACCAATTGTATTCAAATTGTCTTAATTTCTTGCTGAAAATACATTCATAAATCTGCTACTTTTTAGTAAAAACGTTTCTTTCATGATTTATCTTCATTTTTTTCCCATGACAAAAATAATGGCCATTATATGTTCTGTTATGTTATGGCCATTAATTTAATGTTAGTTATTTGGTCTAACATACAAACACAAGTGACAATATCAAACAAACTCCAAACTGAATATATAGGTTAACCAAAGCTAGGGAACATTTCACAATCACACCACATTCTTTTTTTAATCTTTTTGTCAATTATTAGAGTTATATTATAGTTAAAATACAAATTGCACTGACTGCCAAGAAAAACCAAGAAGAACTAAAAACTTTAATATATAATGTGTATACAATGTTAAACATGTGTACACTATAAAAAGACTATTTTTTCTTAACACAATACACATGCCAACACAAATTTTAATGAACCACCAAGCACAAACCAGTACAATTAATGTTTAGATGAATTAAGAATTAAAAAAACAAAAATTAGGGATTTTCTTTTAAAGCAAACATATTTATATTTGAATGTCGGCTAATCAGGAGACAATGCTATAGACATTACTGCACAAAGCAATGATATGCCATTTATCTTATGAATTTGAAAACATTTTAACACAAGTTCCTTTTGTGTACATGTACCAGTGGGGTTGCTGGAACAAGTTGTTATATATAGCCCTTTAGCAGCATATTTCTATGTTGACTCTATTCTATCACTTACACTGAAACCTTGTTTGTCTCAAAGTTTTTACGTGGATTAGCAACTTGGAAAGAATAAGATTTGTTTATATGGATCAGCTTTCAAGTTTTACCCAACTAGAGATTTCACTATTACAAGGTTAATTTAAATGATCGTTTACAGTAGGATCTAGATGAAGATGTGAATTATAGTTATAAGCTCCCAGATGATATAGCTTTCAATTATGCACATTACAAATAACATTCATGAGCTAATTACCTGGTAAAATTCCATTAATACTTGGGGAAATCTATCGTCAAAATTCTGAACAGGAACTTAAACTTAGATCATGAACAAATGGTTTGGTTTGGTTTAGTATTGTTTAACGTCCTATCAACAGCTATTGTCATTTAAGGACGGCCTCCCCTGTGTGCAAGATGCATGTGTGTAGTGTATGCGTGTGTGTTTTGGGAGGCTGCATTATGTTCTTGTTCCTCTCCTTGAGATAGCGTGGAACTGATGCAGACTTTATAGTGCTACCTCACTGAAAAATACTGCCGAGGACACCCAGCAGGACACCCCACCTGTCACATTATACTGACAACGGGCGAACCAGTCGCCCCACTCCTAAATTGCTGAGAGTTAAGCATAAGTAGAAACTACCATTTTTACAGACTCTGGTATGTCTCGGCCAGGGGACAGAACCCAAAGCCTTGCTCACAGGTGCGAACGCTCAACTAACGGCCAAAAGTGAGGCATTGTCAAGGGAGACATTAGGAAGAAGGAAGATGTTTAGAAACAAGGGAAAAGATAAGATCCCAAATTTAGTCGCCTCTTACGATCATGCAATGGAGGCAGCAGGTATAATTCTTACGCCCTACCTGCAGGGACTTTTGAACAAATGACTTCCAGTATAACAAATATGTTCTCATACTAATGCCACAGTGATACCAAGTTTTACACACTAGCACAAAAACATCAAACAGCCCTGCACGTCTTGTGAATATATATGTACAAATGCAACCATTTACAAAACTTTCCAAATCTGCACAACATAAAAATGTACCACATCTGAATCAACACCTCAGGAAGGAACCAATTCAAATTGCTTAACCCAATCATAACATTCAGAGTTTCAAATGAGTACATTTAAATCTATAAGACAGAGATACCATGCAGGGTTTTAGAAAATGCAATCCAAGGAAAGGGTAGTTGATAATTTACATTGGAACAATGGGAACAAACGGTGCACGTCACACATGCAGGACTGTACATCATGCACACATACACAGAAATAGTGGAACGCACACGCATGCACATGGATATATATGTGTGTACCTGGACTAGAGATTTGACTGTGGGTTGGAATACAAGGTTATGATTGAGGAGGAAGGATCGCAGCAGTGGTTGCGGGTAAGCTGCTAGACGAGCTATCACCCCGGTCAACACCAGGTTGATGGACAGGTTGTTTTGCATCATTCCCTCCAGCTTGCTGAACAGACTGCTCAGAAACGGCCCTGTAACGTAATGGCTAGTTAATGCATGGGATATGTTTATACAGTCATGCCCAGTCACGTACGTAGGTGATCAATGCATAGCATACTATTAATTTTAGAGTAGTATATATGTATATTGGATATTTTGATTGGGTACTGAATGTGTGGTGGTTACTTAAATACTAATTTGTAAATGAACTGTATGTAGCATAAGTTACATGGGTGCAAATATACATGTAAACACATTCAAATTTAACATAACTTATATAGATCTAGATATATAAATAGTGAAACCGTTTTCTTTTAACATATAAATGTAATGAGAAGAATTATTCTTTAAAATGGATTTCCCTGATATACATTAAAATTCACTTCACATTGATTAATTATAAACGTGGTATAAGTTAAAATCTACTTGACATGGATTAACGCGATAAAAGTTAAAATCTACTTGACATGGATTAACATGATAAAAGTTAAAATCTATTTGACATGGATTAACCTGATAAAAGTTAAAATCAACTTGACATGGATTAACCTGATAAAAGTTAAAATCTACTTGACATGGATTAACCTGGTAAAAGTTAAAATCTACTTGACATGGATTAACCTGCAGGTACAAGTTTATAAGACTGTTTCATGTCCAGGGGTGTGGGATAGGGAAATTCAAGGGTTTTCAAATTTGGTAAAACCTGAGGCTATGTTAACAAATTAAACAAACTACAAACTTTATTGAATATCTCTGTTATCCAATCTTTTTCACACAGATTCTGTTTAAAAATTTCTTGCAGAAATGTTGACAAGCAGTAGATGTACTATAATTGTGAGGTTCTTACCTATGCTCGGTGAGGTGTCCGTCGGCTTACCATGCGAGTCTGTAGAAGGCACTGGGATGATCCCTGAGGACAAGGTTGGCATTTGCATAGAAGGATTAGGGAGGGAAAAACTCACAGATTTAGGTGGAGACCGGCATCCATTTTCTTTTGTATTCATGGATGTCAATGAGTTTGTACGTGTCAGTTTTGATAAAGAATCATGTGCACTGGTGTCGGACGTGAATGAGGACAGGGTGATTTCTACAAAGCTTGTTGCATCTTGTGGCTGCTCTTCTGATCGGTCTGAAACTTCTTCAGACATGTGCATCACTTTGGAGTCTATCACATCGAATGTCGTACCATCGTTACTTTGACTCACAGGCCTAGGGGTACGGAACATTTGATTATCACTTTGTTGTGACTCTAAACTATTTCTGAATACACTACTGTTTTCACTAGTCTCCCCCAGTGGGTTGGACAAATGTGAGTCAGATGCCCCCGAACACAGTTCAGACAGAACTGAGTCCAGGGAAAGGATACTGTCTTCTATCGTCCGGTCCTGTTCATATTCTGGAGGTGTACCCACCTCTGTCAGATAGGACAGGAAATCAGAAACATCCTCGGATTCTGATCCACTCCAGGCATCATAGCGCGACGAATCATACTGTCTTAAAATCTCAGACACTTCTGACTGATAAAATGGAGTCCTTCTCTCCTCGTCCGGAGAAGTCATGTCGATCAGTGCTAAGTACGACCTAAAGTCGCGGTTAACTAGTGCAGTTCCTCTGGAGGTTATACTGGGAGAGGTAACCCCAGTCGGTGTGCTGCCATCACTGAACACGGTGGAACTCATGTTACCGTGCGACAACATCAGTACACCAGTTGTTGTGTTATTACCTACCGTATTATCCAGCACGGAATCACCTAAACCAGTAGTGTTTTTACTACTGTCACAAACACTGTCAGGCGAGGAGGGCGTGTCCAAGTCTGTAAACACTGTAGGGGAGGGCATGTCCCCATCATAGGGATACACCCAAGTTTTACACGCTCTACTTGTGTTCCCCAGGGCCTTTCGTGCCTCCAGGAGATAATCGTTGTAATCAGTCTCAAAGTGTTCCAGCTTGCTGCCTTTGGGGTTGGCCTGGGACAACACAGTCTTTGGAGTTTCCATGGATGTGGCAGCTCTAAGTTAAAAAAAGATGTGTGATTATGAAGCTCATTGTAACAGCAGGAATATTATCACATGCAAATTAAAATAAGACAAACCAGACAAGTATACAACATATAACAATCGATAGTCCTCGATACTCCAGGGGTTACGCTCACTTTTGCTCTCTGTACCCCCTGAATATGTCAAAGCAAAACCGAAGGCTGAAAGTGAGCGTAACCCCTGGAGTATCGAGAATGTCAATTGTTCTACACGAGGATCAATGGTAGGGAATAACATTACTAACCTAACATCAAGGAATATGGATGGGATATATATTAAATCAGCTGTTTTGACCCACGTCATAATGGTAAACTAATAATTAAAGTACAAAAAAATATGTTATTTACTGTTTGTATTGCCTTACTTATTAGGTAAAAATTAATGTTTTTGCAATCATACAAGACTTGTAGTGCACCAGGGCATAATGGAACATTTTTGTCTTTCATGTCAATTAAAAGGATTGTGATGAAATATCTTTAGCTACATGATCACTGTGCCAAATTAATCAGTAATAATCTCTTTAAGTATTTACTGAGTGATGATTTAACTTTATATTATACCTATTGTACTTTCAGTTTCCGTTAGTCTAATTATAAGCTTGTTCAATTTGGATCATTTCATCACGATTTTCAAACTAATGCAATTTGATCATTCAGATATCAACTTTCATATACATGATAACATGTATCATTAATATTGTTGACTTATATTATTATGTTGAAGCTTATAGAGTAAGCTAAAGGAAAAGCAGTTTTGTCACTAACTGAGATTTCTAAACAAAGCAATAGTTATGTATAATTAAATATATTATACATATATATATATATACAGCAGTAAATTTAAAAGTTCATTTTGAACACACAGAAATGCCAGTTATCTAAGATGATTAGATCTAGCTGTGTTTTAGGCTGCACATTTATCGTTATTTTTAAAATCAAATCTTAATCAATATGTAAACTAGACACAGAAAAGTCCTAAACAGACAACGAGTGATGTGAATCTGTGGGAACGACTGATACATGCTGTGTAACAGGGATTTCTGGAATGACTTATTTACGTGTGCATATACAAAAATAAAACTTAAAGTTCATTTAATAAAACACAGGATCTAAATATGAAATAAATATAATCACTGATAATTATAAGTAACTATTCAGTGTAAAATCTATACTCCATTTTGTAAAATGATGATTTTGGAGGAAATTGTATGCTTATTTTTATGATTTATATAATAGTCAAGGTAATATAGTCAATTTTAATTAAAATTTTTGTATCATTTGAATGTAGCCAAAATAGAATATTGTGAGAAAACTGACTTTTTAATCTTTGTATATCAGTATGTACACACATGTGTGCTGATCACCTCTTTTTTACCTTAACTTTTGGTCATGTGTACATGTATCTAACATTTAAAAAGTCTTACACAGAATTTTCAAGGTATTGATTCACAATGACCAATTCAACCTAATTCAATCTTTATAAGATTAAAACACAAAACATTTGACTGAGTGAAGTTTTGATAGAAATGTTGGTCTATCATTGAACTAATAACATTTGAATCAAAGCAATATGATCAAAGTACAAGCAAAAGATCCAAAGACCATATATATTTCATCAGGATATTATTGTGAGTGATCATTCAAGCAGAATCACATAGCATTTGAAATGAGTTTCATTTTAAAATTCTTGTCATAATGGGGAAAAAGCGTTTCATGATGACAAGCTAATTAATTTTATTAATCACATTTTGATAACCATGCAGACAGATCTAGACAATATAACTATAAAATCATTTTAAAATGAAAATCCAAATTTAAATAGCAACACCAAAAGCATTCATAGAAATTAATGAAAATATCTACATAGCTTTTACTTTAAAGTCAAAGAGTTAAAATTATCAAGAATTAGAAAGTCAAAGAAGCATTCTTAAAACTGAAGGAATTAGAAAGATTGTCATTTGTTTCATAATCGTTTCTTGCATTTTTCACTCTAACACTGGAGTAGAGACCAGAACATAACTTCAAAATCATGTTACTTTGAATAGAATTCAATCGTTTGTTAAGAGAAGCTGGAAATTTAACTTGTTAGTATAGTTAATTCCAAACTAATTTCCATATTATGTATATGTATATATATGCATGTTATTATACTAAAACATATAGGAGTCAAGGGAGATAACACATGGAGGGTTAAATACCAGGCGTGGAGTCATGCAAATATCCCTCATGCCCTGGGGGTTTAGTGTTACCTTCTACGTGTACGCTGGTACTCCTGTTCCTGTTTTCGCGCCCGTAGAAAGCTGCCGAGCCCACGCTTGGGCCTGGAGGCCGGGGGCAAGGCTGGGGTAGGGCTAGCGATACCCAAACCCACACATCTACATATATAGAAGGACATAGAGGGTGTGGCTACAATCCACTGTCCAGTGGGAAGTATAAACAGTCACCTACACACAACACAGTCTGTCTGCTCAAGAACACTTGAATATTGTCAAAACTGACAACTGTTACAGGGACAAAGTTATGACTATACACCATACACAGAGATAGATACAACCACACCAGTATACCAATAATGCAAAATCTTCAACCTGTATACAGGGATATAGTTATGACTATACACTGCATACAGAGACACAGATAGATACAACTACACACTGTATACAGATAATGCAAAGTCTTCACACTGTATACAGGGATATAGTTCATTACTATATATATATGCACATGTAAGTTCTGTTGCAAGATGAATTCTTAAATGACAATGTATGGTTTGAACATGTTTTGGCCCCAAATTGACAAAAATCTAAAACCTGTAATTTAACTTTCACATAAATTTTTCTTTCATATAAAATACTTCCCTGACTCTACTATTGGATATATATTTATGCTTTTAAGTATGGATGCCATCGTAACAAGTTGAAGTTGGCATGAATTAAAAAAACTCTGATTATATATTCAGTCAATAATATTATGTTGTTGAATAGATTTTCTCTTGGAAACTGTAGAATACAAGTTTGATCAAACATACTATATATCAAGGAAGAATTTGTAGACACAGATAATACATCTTTTGGAAAATGTTCAGTTTGTTTAGGATTATGTCTTATGGGTTCCAATAGGAAATAACCAATGATTTTGCATGGTATATATTTCATTACAGGTATACACATACAATGGAGAGAAATTTAAAGATTTAAGACTGTTCGAGCTAAAATCAGTTTCAAAAACTTTTAAGAAATTAGGATTATGTCAGACTGGCAAGTGATCAGGAGACAGTACACTATAATAAACATGAACAGTAACACTGACTTATCTACATAAGACCAACTAATGTGAACAAAAACTGAGCTGATGTGTTCATCCTTCAAACAAAAGATAGCACTTCATGAACTTTGCAAGATATTTACAAAAAAAAAACGTACCCTGTACTTCAGTACCATCAGGGTTATTTTTTTTTACTTGTTTCTAGCAAAACATTTAATGATGTTTCAGAAATCTCATGTGATCAGAGTTCCAACATTACCAAATTTTGAGACAAAGGATTAAAACGCCCAAACAAAACATTTGGCAGTCATTTGGCTTAAAACAAAATTATTCAAATAATTTTAAAATGATAACTGAAAATGTGAGACAAATATTCTATACTGTGAGCTAGACAGACTGTACTGTGTTTTTTTTAATACTTAATGAAGAACAGTTAATAATTGGTGAACAAAGGAGGTGCAGGTCAAGCCAGATCGGCTAGGACAAGATGACCAAAGAACATAGGCCAAGCATGCAAATTATGACGGTCAAACCAGTGGTATCTCTTGACAAGAAATACATGAAAAGTTTTAACAAATAATCATTGCAGTATTTGAATTTTTATTTTTTTTAGAAAAATGAAATTGAAATTAGGAAAAATTAAATGGAAAAGCCAAACTCAGTGAAAAAACAACACTTTGAAAGCAAATGTGCATTTGTGAGACACTCTAATAATTTCACTATAGTTAAATATTTATTCAAAGTTATTGTTTTCTTTTTAGAGAAGGTTTAACGTTCAGCTTTAAGTGTATTTCAGCTTTTACCCGATATTAAATTAAGCTGATATAAATTGAAACTTTCTTCATCAAAATTCATTTGTTTTATTATACTTATAACGGTGTCCTATTTTCTTGGTCAGTATCAGTTTGGGATGGTATTAATGTTTATATAAAATATATAGTTATATGTAATAATCATCAAAACCTATGTTATGCAAATGAATGTATATATGGTTTAGAAATAAATTATTTAGAAAATATCGATAATAACAAAATATGTATTGCATGAACATTCATTAAAACTGATATAGTTATTAATACTAAATCCAAAATGCATAAAAATTCTGTTGAACATGCAGCTCTCTAGTAGTGATTTTACTGTCTGTAAATTCAGTTTTTAACCACAAAATGAAATTTTTCGTGCAACAGTGTGTCCAAATCAATATTCTCTCCATATAATTTGGTTACAGAATGGATCAGATTTTTTTTTTAAAACAGACAATAAAACCACTACATGTAACTATCATATCAAAATCTGGCCACTATTTAACAACAATTGTTTTTAAATCAATAACATGATTTTCACTTCAGTACAAATATTACCCTATATGAAAGTAAAATTGAGAAAGAAAATAATTGATTTTTTTTTGGATGTTATTGCCAGTATTGTATGGGAACTGAATAATACTCCATTATAAAATAAACTTATAATTCAATATCTTGATTAAAAACACTGGATGATTAGATGCAACTTAATCAAAACTTTTACTAACAATAATAAATTATGATATTAATATATGCCGACAAGGTTAGAACCAGCACATGACAACATGGAGCAGCCTGTTAGTAGTGGCTATCAATACACCAAGCAGACATTCACATAACAAACCTTGCTATCCACCATTCTACATTTTATGAAAATTTGTTGGAAATACGTGAAAAAAGAAGAGAGAAATTAGAAGTCATACCTTTCTGCAGTTGGTGAAGAGTTACTGGCCTTTGGGCTTTCACTCGGGTCTGGTACGCAACAGTTTGGACGGAGGGACAGGAACTTCTCGGCACTCTTGCCGTACAGGTCTACATCTTTTACAGCTCGCCGCTGACTCACCATGACATGGGTGCAGGGAATCAAATATCTAGTTTTAAAAAAATGTTTAAGGATTTTAAAAAGAAACAGATATTTGTACATTAAAATGAGATGATTCTGGACACTGTTAGGTTGAAGGAGTCATATTGAATGAGGTAAGATTCTGAAGATGACATGTCCTCATAAAAATCTTGATAATCAATAAAAAAGTAAATGATGTCCATGATTGGTTTTATCTTAACTGTAATACATGCAGTACACAAATACTGTTTCAGTTTTTTTTACCTCATTTAGTCTTTGTGACCATAAATGAATTGTTCAAATTATTTAGCTTATATCAGCATTTTTTTGTGTTCTGTATATATAAACATGTAGGTAAATATAATATTTTATATCAGCGACAGCATTAACAGAAATCAGAGTTTATTTTAGAACATCGTTCTTTTCAATTCATACAATCCACAGCAAATGTTTACCAATCAAACATTGTATAAAACATTTAAAAGTAACATCTGTCACCCAGCAAACATACTACAGTAACCTCTGTCACCCAGCAAACATACTACAGTAACATCTGTCACCCAGTAAACATACTACAGTAACATCTGTCTCACCCAGCAAACATACAACAGTAACCTCTGTCACCCATGCCAGTAAACATACTGCAGTAACATCTGTCTCACCCAACAAACATACTACAGTAACATCTGTCTCACCCAGCAAACATACTACAGTAACATCTGTCACCCAGTAAACATACTGCAGTAACATCTGTCACCCAGCAAACAAACTACAGTAACATCTGTCACCCAGCAAACATACTATAGTACCATCTGTCACCAATGAAACATCCATCATAAATAACCTGTTACCGTATATAGTTATATATACATTCCCCACGATATGGCTTCTATATACTGATCGTTCACTACACCCCTAGAAACCTCCAATCAACTCTGACACAACTGAAGTAAATTTTACCTGAGGATCAGTTGGAAAATGACATCCTCGCAGTTTTTATCAATCAGTGTTTTAAACAGCGAAAGGGAAACGACACACAGTAGCTGGAAATAGACAAAATTAGGATTATTCTTCAATGATTAACAGTTTTAAAGAATATATTTATATCACAGTAAAATATTAAAACCACAAATTTGATAAAACTATATATAAAGCCACCAAATTTAATGCCCTGGTCGAGGAAAACTAGAAATTTGCTTTATCCCTTGAGCCAATACGTATACTTAAACTATTTTATTATATTTCTTTGAATTGCAAAGACATTTTCAAGAAGAAATTCTTCAGTCACAATTTTCGGGAAACTTATCAAGAGCATTAATATCTACTCTTACCTCCTAGGTTGGTTATTTACATGAAGAAGTTAGGTAAACAGCCCAGGGAGTTAGTCTGCAGGGGAGTTTTAGTTTTCAGACTAACACATGGCTAATAGAGGACGACCAAATCAATAAAATCTGGCCAAAAGTAGTATAGGTATAAAGTAAATTTAACAAGTTTCTTTTACACAGAGTAAATAAATTAGATGTATGTTAAAATTATGTAAGTAATTTTAACATGATCACAGTGGTATACAAATCCACCTTGGTGCTACTGTTGATCCTGGTGACCAGCGACTCCAGTATGACAATCTCATCGTTTTGTTCCGTGAGGATGAATTTCAGGAAGGCTCGAGTGAGGGCTGGTTCTGTAATCTTTCTCAGAAACAGTTCCAGGTAGGCTGTGGCTGCTATCACCTCCTCCCTGGAATTCTGAAACCACATCAAACATGAAATCCAAATAAGATGACCCCAAACAACCATTCTTGCTGAACATGATATATTGTGTATCATATATTAAATAATATATAGTGCATGACTTACATGTATGTAAGACTGAAATAAATTGTTACAGATTTTGTTTGCTTAAAACTATGTAATGCACACAGTCTATTTCAAAGAGTAAAATAATTTCTCATTAAATGTGTAAGATTGATATTATGATATTAATACTGTAACAGTTTATATAATTACTGTCAAATATTCAGAGAAAAGTGTTTTTCTTTTACATGATTCCCTTATTTATAGTAGAATTTTCCCTTCATGCTAGAGTATGAATAGACTCAACATCAATTATGATTTCTATTTGATAACGTACATACAGCATCCATGTACTTTTATAATTGAACAGAAAAGGCATGATGAGCAATAAAGATGGCCTGGATACTTAACCCTTTCACCGCTGTACGTAGACCATAATGGACTCATCCATGTCAACGCATATATAGTAGAGCCTACTGAAGTTACATAATTAAGGGTGAAAGGGTTTAACAAGTTAGGTCTGCTAAATCATAAGAGGGTATATATGTTTTAAGGTTTCTGTTAAAAGAATGATATTGAAGTATTGATTCTATGTCTTTTTGAAATGAAACGGCATGAAAAAAGGCAATAAATCAAGGTTAATAAAAGGGAGTTAACTCTTGTACTTTACATAAAATTTAGATACAGTATGCAATGAATAGGTCTATCTCTCAAATCCACATTTCTACTCCTTCCAGACAAATCCAGTTCTAGTTACAGGCAATATAAAGATGTAAAATTAACATATTTGACCCGATACATATATTTTTCGAGGCCTCTCGAGGTTGCCATTTTGTGGATTTTGGCATGTTCAATGGCCCACTTAGAAGACAATGTTTTCCTGTTTTGGTGTATATTACGTATACTGACAATGCTCAACTGTGGAAATCAGCCAAACAATTGTTTTACTTAATTATTTTCTTTAGAATTTTGACAAATCCAGAGGCAAAACAAATATGTTATGCTGTTTTATCTTTTGAAAGCAGGATAATAAACTTATTAGTGAACATTAATTTCCTGATCTAGAAGAGCTTTTTGTAAACAGTTTAACGATATATTTTTGTTTTTAATCTGTAACAAGTCACACAACTCTGTAGCCATTTCAGCACAAATTTTACATGCATGTATATGTACATGACTAGAATGTACTAAACCCTATAAAATAATTATGCCACAGAACAAACTGACCTAGAATAATATAGGATATTGGGGTTGTGTCATATTTATTACATAACAACATGGTATTGGTACAATTAATACAAGAGAAGCAGAAAATCAAAAGGCAGACACATGCACCATCTCACCTTATAAACATGTATACAGTGCCGGTGTATCATATGTCACTACTGGAAGTACAACCCATGAAAAAACATGAAATTGTCATGAAAATCCCATGAAGCCATGAAAACATACCATGAAATTTTGTTTGAATATTTTTTTGGTGCCATGAAAAATTTGTGATATGTTTAAGTGTACCCATGAAATATCTGTGAAATTGGATTTCATGGCCGTGATTATTTGACAATTTTCATGGGAGGTTTCATTGGTTTTTCAGTACTTTTTCATTTGATTTTCATGGTTTGTATATGCCATTTTCATGGACTAGGTTCCAATAGTGTGTACTGGTGAGATATACGTATAAAGTTTATACATTGTACCACTGGGAGTGGCAAATTGTTCATTAAACGGGCTGTAAGAATGCATAATTTAACTTGTATATATACTCAGTGGTACATGTCACATGTAAAATGTGTTAGTCTCCTCAGTAATATAAATCTTATGTCAGTGATATTGACTCATTAATCTTATTTATCACATAATGTACTGTGTTATCCAGTTAATATACCCATGTCATATCTTTTTTGCGTATATGATCGACCTATCAGCCTGTCATTGGTTGAAAGTTGTCATTGGTTCAATTGTGACGTCCCGCCTAGAATAAGTACATGACGTCACAGACTTACGCACTGGAGTCAAAATGACGGCTTATTACATTTCAAGGTTGCATGAAAATTGTTGTTTTACACGAATAAATACCACAAATCTTGATTATGTGATAAAAAGGATCTTACATTCCTTTTCATTTCATATTGAATTAATGAAACTTGTCATACATTTTTCATTTTTAACTCGCCAGAGAAAAATTCTTAAATCTCATATGTTTTCATTTCATATGAAATTTATGAAACTCCTCACAAGTTTTTCATTTTAGCTTGCCAGAGGCACGCTAAATTGGAAATATTCTTAAGACTCATTTCATAAATTTCATATGAAACGGACCTATGTAATTAAGATCCTATATGTCTGTGATATTAACACATAAATCTTATGTTGGTGACATTAAGACATACATGTTATGCCTAAGATATTTACATACATAAAACCTTTTAAATATCTGATCTTATATTATATGTAGGTATAGATCCAATAGAAGTGTCACATGCCTCTACCTAGGAATAAAATGTAAACAACTGGTACTGGTAGGTATGCACCAATTTTACACCCTTATAAGGTGGTCAAACTTACACTTGTACAGTAGTTGTATACACATGTATATATATATATATGGACAAATATGGACACATGTATATATACTACCCAACTTTCCTCTGGCCCTGACATCAGACTTAGACATTGTAACAGATAGATGTCTGGTGTGGGGCCAGAGGGCACTACTATATGAAAACGTGGAATTCTCCGACACCGTTTGGTATTGGAGAGTGACTAATCAACAAAAAGACGCGGTCCGGAAATCTTCTAAACAAGAATAATATTCTCCGTTTTCTGTTCGGATCAGTACGGTTTGTTGATTAGTCAATACATGACCTGCAAAATGGCGTTCGCTCAGGTGGGAAATCTTGAACAATTGAAAATCGTGGACTCTACTGACGGCATTTAGCAGCTGTTGGTGACAACAAGAGCTGATTTGGATCAATAAATAATCCATTCATCGATATATGTGAGTTATGTGTTGTGTCATAGTAGATTTTTGTTGTCAGCATCTCATAACTCTCCAATACCAAACGTCGTCGGAGAATTCCACGTTTTCATATAGTAGTGCGCTCTGGCCCAACACTAGACATCTATCTGTCAAACTGTCAAGTCTGGTGTCAGGGCCAGAGGAAACTTGGGCTAATGTATATATGGACACACTGGTAATTTATAACACATATCTGATAGGTGTCAAGTAGATCTAAATTGTAAATGTAATTCAACCATCAATACTTATTCATTTTTCTGATGTTTGCATTCCCTTTCAATTAGATTTCAAATTAGATTTATTCAATGATTTTAAAGTGCACGTATCTTCATTTTTAGTATAATGTTATAATTTTGTTAAATAAGAAAACCCACTAGTACCAGATTCTATGGTCAAGTAAAAAAGACTACACCCAAAAGAATTTTCACGAGCCAATCACAAGTATATCTAGATACATTGATGGTGCCATCGAACAAAGCCGCAAAAAATCAATGGCATTACAAACAAGAGGCCCATGGGCCTTAACGGTCACCTGAGACTATAGTATTTATTTTTGTTGTTGAAATATGTACCAATTTGAGTAAAAAATAGTATAATGTTAACTTAACTTTGTCAGGACCATGAGCTGATCATTCCTAGACCAATTTTAAGTGAGATCGGCCTATTAGAACTTAGTAGCAAAATAGCGGCCATGGCAGCCAAATTGTATTTCTGATTGACCCGAAAAATAACAACACTTTGTCAGGACCATGAGGCGATCATTCCTACCAACTTTCAGTTCAATCGGTCCAGCAGAACTTGACTTTAAGTTTGAAATAGGTTTTCAAAATGGCGGCCGTGGCGGCCATATTGGATTTCTGATCGACCCGAAAAATAACAACACTTTGTCAGGACCATGAGGCGATCATTCCTACCAACTTTCAGTTCAATCGGTCCAGCAGAACTTGACTTTAAGTTTGAAATAGGTTTTCAAAATGGCGGCCGTGGCGGCCATATTGGATTTCTGATCGACCCGAAAAATAACAACACTTTGTCAGGACCATGAGGCGATCATTCCTATCAACTTTCAGTTCAATCGGCCCAGCAGAACTTGACTTTAAGTTTGAAATGTAAAATGTTAACGGACGACGGACGACGGACGACGGACGACGTACGACGGACGACGGACGACGACGGACGAAAACGGATAGCAATAGGTCACTTGAGCTAAAGCTCAGGTGACCTAAAAATCCAGCAAAAGAACCTTGACAATTAAAAAAAAAATTGCAAACTCAACCTCAAGCACCAATAAAAATGTAACAGTAGAGACAGGATTCCTAGTTCTGTGAATTTTTCAAATTCAGTGTATGTGTCATGGTGTCGCCTGCAATATTGGGACGAGGCAACATATAGGTATTACTATATGGCATCGGCATTGTTGTCGGTTGTGTCGTCCGAAACAAGGTTTCTGTGCGATAACTTGAGTTCCCTTTAATGGGTTGATTAAACTCAAACTTGGTACACATATTGCATGCCAATATAGCCCCAAGGAGTTCAGATTTCAGGAGTTTACATGCATTTTTGATGGAGTTATGCCCCTTTTATTGAACTTTAAAAACAAAAACAAAAACAATTTCTTTCAAATTTTGTAGGGTAATGCTAGAAGCAATAATGTTCAACATTTATTACAGGTTTTTCTGTCAACTTTCCGCATTTTGGCATATCACACTTGATATAATAACACTGTTCATCGTTTTTGTCGTTTATTTTTCTTGTTTATGCGATAACTCGAAGTCAAAACACTTTTCTTACTAAAAACGCTGAGCAGGCGACACAACATCCACTCCTGTGGAATACCTGTTTTTATTTTATATCAGAAGTACCGGTAATACTACACAATATGTTTTAGTGACTTGCATTGTTGCTTTCTGTCAGATATTTATATAACTTAACATCAACATTAATGCTGAGTTTGTGTTGCTTTGAAAAAGTTGCAGGATGTGTAATTATATTAATCGTGTATGTTGCTACATCAACTTTTGTAAACACATACATGCACTGACATGTGTAATACATGTAATTAGATAAATTGTTCATAATGTGAAATGGATACTAAAACATTCATTTCAAAGATTTTCGTTTAGCATAAAATGCAGATTCTTATTCATAATAATTGGCATCTTAATACAATGAACATTAATTTTTATGAGCGTGATCATAATATTCAACTTGGTTAAACTCATATACCAATTGTAAATAAAAATAAACTGATGGCTATAGTTAGACTTACAAGTTCAGGCCCTAGAATTCTGCCTTGTTCAGAACGATTGCATGGTTTTACCAGGGAGTAATTATAATTCAGGTGAATATCAGGACAGAAGGGCTATTGCGGATATGATTTTACGACACAATAAAGGAAAAAACAAGACGGTTTACTAGGACATTATTCACATTAAACACTAGTGCAGCTATGTATTTGGTGCAGTGATCATTCTCCATCATTCTCTCTTCAGAATATCACAAAGTAGTCATTCAAAATAGCCCATGCAAAACAAGCATTTCATCAGATCATAACCAAAAGCAAGTTTCAGGTTGAGCAATAATAAAAAGAAACCCTGATTTGAAAAGCTCATTATCAAATTGATGATCAATGAAATTAATTTCAATATTTTTTATCATTAAAAGCTAGTTAAATTGTACATGTATGTTATAAAATACTTCATTTGCCATAACTAGTACCCAGGGCAGTTAAACATTTGGTATAAAAATGTGTGTTTGAGGGGGGGATTTAATAGGAGAATAAAATTCAAGTTATGATAAAAAAAGTTGTGCAACTTAAACCAGTTGTTATCACCGAAGGACATTATAAAAATTTAGAAAAAAGAAAGTTTGAAAAAGAAATTTCACATGAAGTCCAGCCAATGCAAGATCACCAAATAAAACTTTCCGTTATCAATCATGTGTAAGTACCATTAATCACTCACTGATTGGGCCTCGTCAGGTCTGGGAAAGGGTCTTTATAGTTTTAATTCCCGCCCAAAAAAGGGGGAGGAGTCCCTGATTATGGCAAACACGATACTAAAACTTCAGTTACCTCGACCCATGATATATGACCAGAATTTCTACTCAACGATAGATATCCGACAAAATGAAATGTTTAGTAATTTACTTTGCTGGTACCAGTCTGTTATGCATAATCATATTAAATCTTTAAATCATATTATATATAAATTAATAACCTTTACAGCAAAAAAAAAGCAGGAAATAATATGCATATTTTGCAAGGCATGAACTATGACAGAACTTTTGTACAATGCTGCAGTGTTTTACAGACAGATGATGTTGTACTAGCTCCCAACACCTCTACTCTACACTTTGAAGTGTATACCAAGCTCTGGTTGAATACTATAAAAAAATATGATATAACTCAAACATTTATCATTATCTCCGAGTCTGATAAATATATGTGTATATAGGTGTCCATATATGTGATGAGCAAACCATAATCAAAACTCTTTTTCCTTAAATATATTACTGATTAATTCATAACATTTTATTTTAGTATATGGGTACATATGTATGCTAAATCTGAATTTAAATCAAATTATAACAGGTTTTTAATAATTCTCAAGAACTCTACTGATTTTTTTTGTCTTGAAAGATTTTTTATTATGATGTTTGATTTCTCATTATATTATGTGAAGTACTGTAATTAATTTTCCAGAATTAAAATCACAATACCCAATCCTTTCAATAATTACGGAAATTATCATTTAATATCAATAACTGTATTCAGGGAACTCCAAAATGATAGGATAAAACCATGTAATTATTTTATTCTAAAATTTTACCAAGGAACCACAAACACAAGACTCGTGCATGAGAAATAAAGCAAAATGAACGTTGGATAAGGCATCAAAAGAAAAACTTGCGATGCTAAATAATCATCCAGTAAATAAAAAGTCACAACACAAAATTAAATAATGAAAACGTTTACTGACCGCAAACATTGGAGAATCAAGTAGGGGAAGTGGTAGTCCTGAAACGTCCTACAGAAATGTCAACGAAATATTTAGTGCCTTAAAAAGTCGGCCATGTCACAAATGACAGAAAAAACATGATGCCTCATCTGAACATTTAATCTTTCCGCTAAGTCTTTAATGCAATGAACATCTTTCAATTGTCACTTTGCTAAGGTCAAAAATAGAAGCACAATGTATGCCTGTGTTTGGTTCGCTGTAACGTAACTCTCAACATAGCTTTTTTAACCAACAAAGGTCCAACCAATTAACAACTTGTTCCATTCTATTCAGGGCATAATCAGGTAGAAATTTCATGGAGCCTTCCAATTAATTTACATTTTAAGGAAATAGTAATAATAATGATAATTTGAGGTTCTTATATACCACTTTATCACAACCCAGTTTGAAGGTCGTCTCAAAAAGGTTCACAAATTATTATCCGTAGTAATTATAGAGCCTTTGCAACCAGCCTATATCCTTTCAACTCCGGGATCCCTGGGGAGTATACAGCCAGGTGCTGCCATTTCGGCGCTCACAGCTACCATTCTACAATTCTAGCACTGCCCAATTGCAACCACATACTCATTTACAGCTAAGTAGACTGGAACAAGCAGAGTAAAGTATCTTACTCATAGATATAACTCAGTGCCGTGCCGCGAACTCGCAACCATTCAGTCACGAGCCCGGCGTCCTACCACTAGACTATCTTGCCTCCTTGAAATGACAAAACATTTTATCAATGATCCCTTAATCCAAACAATTCCAGAATTCCACAAAACCTACCTAGCAACAGTAATTGCCCCATTAATACCATTTTGGAAATAGATGTAGTTGGGCTTGGCCAGGGAATACCATCAATCAGCTATAGGTAGTTTAATATAACTAATCATTTGGCTAAGGCAACCATATCATGACTGAAGGTCCAGAGTTCATCACCGTCAGAACACTGTTGTTGATATACATTTTATTTACTTCATTTTTAAAAGTACAAAATCTATTTATTTAACAAGAGTACCGTGGGGCGGAACAAAATACGCCCGTTGAATGCCATATAGTGTTATATACTGTCTTACATTGAAATAAGATCTGCATCATTCTAAGAGTGGTTAGCTGATATGCTATACAAAATGTAGGAGAAAATCTTCGGACAAAAAATCAAATACTGGATTGAACAAAGGGCAATAACTTTTGGAAAAATCGTGAATCAAAATTCTTTTAGGGAAAACACAAATTCATATAATGCTTATAATGTATACCAAGTTTCAAATAGATCGGTCGAAAAATGTAGGAGGAGATCTCCGCCAAAAATCACATACTGAAATGAACAAAGGGCAATAACTTTTGGAAAAATTGTTGAATCAAAATTCTTTTATGGGAGACACAACTTCATATCAGTTATGTGCATATCTTCATGGCTGTATATCGCCAAGCACACAACTACTTTCAAATAAAAATATTGCCCAGTGTAAACCCAACACCTGGATACAATGTGAGTATCAACATGTTATACAGGTTAATGTGTAAGGGTGAACATATATAGCGGTGGTTGTAAAATAGCATCATCAATGTAACTCAAATCTACACCATGAATCAGATATCTATTTTCACAGCACCCCAAGACTGAGCTGAACCTGTGATCAACTTTTGCTTTGATTTATCCCCTGTTTTTAAATTATACACATACTGCATTTTAATGTATTTTGTTATAATGTACATGTATCTTGTACTTTTTTGGAAGGAAAGGGGACCTAGAGGTAATTTGTTTTTTAAAGTTTAAAAAAAAACACCAATTGTTTAAAAAATCTGTTGAAAGATCTAGGATTTCTTTAATTTCAGTCAAGACAGACTGTGCTTTACGTTTTAATTAACTAATATACATGTAATATTAATAATTGTTTTATATATTGAATCTTAAGTAAACACAATTAACAAAGGGCCATAACACTGTATATAGTGGGGCACAAGACCTGATTTCAATGCGAGAGATTCCGGCTTCCCAAGATACATAAATGTGGTAAGTTTGGTCAACATAGGTAAAATAACATGGAACTAATGCTCCTAAAATACTTCAGTATTAAAAATAAACAAATGGCCATAACTATGTATTTAGTATTAGTAGGGCACGAGACCTAATTCCAGTGCACTGCACACGTTTTGTGGGTGATGCAGATATACTTCAAGTTTGATCAAGATATCTTTAATGGTTTAAAATTTACTGGCCGGACAAGAACTTGCTGAAAATGTTGCACTTATTTGACCTTTGACCTTGAGGTGAAGGTCACAGTGACTTAATTCCAGTGCACTGCACACCTTCTGCGGGTGATGCAGGCATACCTCAAGTTTCAAATATAAAAATTTCATAATATAAGACATAAAACCAGTAAAAAATGTTTTAGTACCTGGTGCATTAGACTGAAGGTGTATGTATGGACCTTATTCTAACCTGACTTATTTCTTGATAATTCCACTATGTATACACATAAATATGATGTCATATACATGTGTACCAATACAGAGAGTCCATCGTACATGGATACTGTATGTTTACATATTTGTATGCAAGACAAAATATGTATACTTGTATGAACAGGAAACATTGACGTGTTTCCACCTAACCGTAATCAAGAAATCTATCTATCTATATCATGTTATACTCCACGGAGACCAAAATGGCTCTAATGCGGAAATAAGGTTATGTGGTGAGAAAAAACGCTCTTAATCACTAACACAAAATTGCCAGTTAGCTCTAGTGCGAAAATCTGTTGTGTTACTGATCTACAGATAGCTGTGCATTAACATTGTGTCAATTTACGGTGTCATACAATACAACAACGCACACAGACTTAAATCCGAAAAAAATAATCCATAAAATCAAAACATTCACCAATATTAATTTTAGTATGAACTGTTAAAAGAACAAAACACTTTTACATGTGGAGACTATTTAGATACCATAAGTACGACTGAATTTAATTCCCCAGCAATCAGGAAATATGGGTTTAGAGAGATAGACACAAGTATGTAGAAATTTGTCATTGGTCCTGTATGTGTATCAAGGGTGATACAGTCAAACATGTACACAATAATAACTAAGCACTGTACACTAAATTGAACACAAATTTTATACAATTATCTTAATTGGATTTTTCTTATTTTTTTTTTTTTTAAACTTTGGGGGTACATAGTATTTCACTCTTGAGAGAGAGATATGGCTTGGTACATAATTATAGTGTTGTTTAATTATTAACAGTTTTCTACAATACATAATTTTGCACTAAAGTAAAAGCAAGCTACGGGTGTGCGACTTACCTGATGCAGGGCTGGACCCATCACAGGCACAAGGAACCCTTTGTATATAAATTCTATCAGTTGTTCACTGATACTGGAGTGTGAGATCTGCCAACAAAAACATCCATCTCAAAAAAAAGTTGTTAAACAAAAACATCCATCTCACAAAACAGTTCTTGAAAACCAAAAAATTATTTTCACAAAACAGTTCTTAAAGCCATCACATGTTCTGTATCGGACCTAATGAGCACCCTAGACACTAAGCTAGTTCAGTAATTTGGTGTTTTATTAGTCATACCATTCAATAAATCTAAATGTTCCTTTTCCTTTTTTTGTAGTAATATTTTGTATATGTCTATCCATATCTATAACAAAAAGCTGTTATATATATTGCCAATATTTCTCTGGAAAAATTGTGGCGATATAACAAGGGTGTTTTACACATGCACCAGTATTTCTAATGCTAATGCAGCAATGTTCACACTCAGTATATCTTTGACTATTCAATGGTATGTATTTGTTTACCTGTACAACAGCATTACAGAACTCCAGGGAGTTCAGGAACATCTGTATCCCTGGAACCTGGTTGATGTCATCTTGTGTAATCTGGAACCAGTCCTCAGCGGCCACAGGGATCTTACGAGGCAGCGACGAGTACAGCCCACTAAGCCCTGTCGCCAGTACCTGATTCAAGTACATAAAAACAATAAATGTAGGATGAACTAGATTTCATCGAGAGATGTATACCAGGTGTACATGTATTGGTACACAAAACATCAGAAAATTAATACCCTGGAAATATCACCTCAAATCTTAATTCTTTCCACAAATAGAGTTTGAAATAAATTAATTATGAATTCAATCAAACAAACCAATATTTGCATTAATATTTCCAGTTACCATTTTAAAGGCATACAAGTATAATGATTGGTTTTGAGGCTTTGCAGGAACTGCTTTATCTGGTGTTGATGATTATGATACATACATGTACATTTCAATTCATTGCAGTCGATGATTTCAGATTTATATATATATACATCTGTGACTACCAATTTAATTGTTCTTCGGTAGATTACAATACATTTAGCATACGGAGCAAACCTTGTAGTTTCTATTATCTACATATGCATACTTCCACAGTATATACAGTTTTATGGTAAATATGAATAAATTTATATTGATAACTCATGGTCAAAGTGTATTACACACAATGAGTGAAATATTTATCTTTTTTCCTCAGGGCGAATCATTTGAGAGATTTTTTCTTTTATTGTCCTGGAAGGTTGCATGATATTTTTCTATTTCAATCTACAATGTACATATAACTACTGTACTCATTCAGTTTCTGTTACAGGATGTATACTTACAGGACAAAAGTCCGAATATTTTTCGATGAATTCCCCAATATGAGGATGTTTAGATGATAATGTCATGATCAACAGCAGAGAATCTCTGGATTGCTGTCCTATTGTTCCCTCGCGGTGGATGAAAGGGATTAGTAAAGAAAAAATCAGAAACTTTGCAGGACCCTGGTCAGCATTAGCATTGAAAAAACTTTCTAGTATAACAGTTTGCTGGGAGATGGAAGCACATATCTGATGAAGTATTAGTACTAATCTACTTTCAATTCCTCGTGAGTGAGTGTCCTGTACACATGAAGACAAAAGTCGTAGGATGGGGTTTATCACAGCTTTGTGGATCAGCAACAGTTGGCGAGACTGCCCAATCAACACCTCAAACATCCGCAACTGTTCCATTTTTAACTTTTCAGTATATTCTGGCTGGTTCTGACACCAGGTACAAAAACTTTCAAAAACATTTTGCTCAAGTAGATAGTGAAGTATAGGCCCCGGCATGCCTTGACCATTTTCATCCAAACCGTCTTCACTGGCAAGCAGGTTGATCATCTGCTCAAAGTTTTTTACAACAGCTTCTACATCATCGTAGGTACACGGCTCATGATTCTTGCCAATATTGTTGGATTCTTTAGCCGTGATGATGATCTGAGCCTGTGTCCAGTGGTTCTTGAACACCTCCAGACATGTGTCTGGATCTGTGTCTGTCCTTGACCGTCCACTAGACGTACTGCCATTGTCACTTAGATGATCGCTACTTCTGCTTTCTGATTTTCCTCGTTTAAACCAAGACATGGTGCTTTAAGGTTTCATAATACTGGCCTGAAAAATAAATTAAAATAAGACTTTAAAAAATCACTACTGTTATAGTCTTTGAATGTGTTGCTTTAATTAATATATAATGTGTATGCATGCATGTCTGAAGATATTAGTCCAATACCGATTCATCCTATCATAAAGCAAATATTTTAAACATAAATTTTAGTTGTGATAGAAATATGTAGATTGCATTATTTATACCAGAAGGCTTAGACTTGTTAGAAGAAAAAATCCACATTGTTTGGATAACTCTCTGGGCCCCTAATTCTTAATAGAAATGAGCACAGCATCTAGAGATGATTCATCACTGTTCTGTTGAGTTTACTAAAAGGTACATTAGTTTATATTTTCTACAGCAAAAACAATTTCTAAAAGCTATATTTCCATGGTAATAAAGTGCGTATTGATCGTTAGATAATTAAGCAATCTGTGTCATCAATATAGTACAAATATAGTTATACCAACATATGATAATCCATAACTAAGTTATACCCCCCCCCCCCCCCCCCCCCCCTTTCAATCAACGGGACCGAATTTTCCTTATCGTACAGGGTTGGAAGGAATAAGTCGAGTCAAAAATTGAAAATATTAAGTTGACTCAAATCAGTAGGTTATATTAACATATCAAATATCGTACATTAAATAACAGGCCCAAGCAAATGAACCCACTCAAGCTGACAGGTCCGGTGGGTGTGTGCCTACATTGCCATAAAAAAGGCAAAGATTAATCATTATAAAGGTGTTCTATCGACAATTTGTAAACTCAGTGCTCACATTTTATCTGGTTAGGTTCATAATGATTTTGATCTAGTATCACCGAATAGCTACATCGCCGCACACATTGGAGGAAGTGCAAGAATCAACCATTGACCAAAAACGTCACATCACAACAGACGAACGTCCATCTTGAAGGGTGAAGGTCAACGAGATACTTCTGAAGAAATAAAGTTACGTTAACTCAAGAAGAAACAATAAACCTCTGTTGCATAAATCATGCTTTCAACAATATTTTGTTATATATAAGCTTTAGTAACATATGGCATGCTAGTTATAGCTACTGTATTTGTTAAGAACTATTTTACCTCACTATTATTTTTCATTTATTCATCCGCCACAACTTCCGCTTTCATTCCAAGATGGCGATGTTGACACAGAACTGCATATCAACTTGAAATTCCAGAAATTGTAACTATTCTGACGGCACCTATCAGCCGAAAAGTTCACGAAAGTGATTTATTTTTAATACAACAATACGAACGGGGTGCTTGTCACCGTCAGACAAAACTGACTTGACACGATTTATCATTTGAAACATGATTATTCACTTGTCATTGACTTTGAAATGAAATGAGATGACATCATCATTTCGTTGACTATTTTCAGTATCACTGAGTATGACTGTTAGGAACACAGAAATGGAATGATGTAGCTCATTGTTCGGGATCGTGTTTTGGTATGTCTGGCATCACACCTGGTTGTAATTATGGACGAACAGTCGTTGAATGAATTGTTGGAATGTTCTGTCTGTCTGGAGAGACTTGATGGGACCAGCAAGGTGCTTCCTTGCCAACACACGTTCTGTAGGAGATGTTTGGACGAGATTTTCAGCACAAAACATGAACTACGGTGTCCAGAGTGTAGAACTCTTGTTGAAATACGCGTTGAAGAACTACCACTCAATATTCTTCTAGTAAGGTTACTTGAGGGAATCAAAACTAAACAGGTAACCGAGAGGACTTACTCTCCCGATTCAGGAAAACAAGAAATCCTTCAAAGCACAGCACATGGAAGTCGATCTTCAAGACAGGTGCATTGACAATGTGTATTTTTTAATGTATAGAGAGTAGTGATTTTTTTTAATCATGTTTGTTTCACTGTCCTATCTTTATTCATGTACACTGTTTGAATAAATATAATTGTTGAAAAAAATCTGACAGGAAATGAACTGGTAACATAATTTCTGTATTTTTAAGTATGTTGCTGTCTGAAATGTTGTCTTTAGTAAAATCTTGATGTAATACATGTTATCTTAATTGCCACCTTGTTGACAAAATGTTTCGTGCCCCCTTTTCCTTTTTTCACATACCTTTGAATGTAGATATGTATCTACCTCAAAATATTGCAAAACACCCTTAACAATTCCAAAATGTTTAAGGGTCACGTACACCCTAGTCTTTTCCATACCCTTTTGTCTGATCTGTACCTTATAAAATAAGTTACCTGTTTGTTTCTGTTCGTACCCCAAAATAGAATGTTTCAGTACTTTGTTGTAAAGACAAAAAATGCTTAAAGACGAAAGATCCTGCAGAAAAAATGTAAAAACAACAACACACATGATATAAAAAGTAAACAAAGGACAAGTCAAGTGCTGAAAATGGTTTTAAAAAAAGTGAAAAAACTTTTGGAATTGAAATGTTTTTAAAATTACCAAAACGAACGAGTGCTAAAACACTTGTATTAATTAAGTAACTATAATTTGGTTTTTTTTATGCCGTGGTCCGGCATCAATATTTTACTTTAAACAACTTCTCAATAACCAAAAGGCCCATGGTACTGTTATTGAGCCTGTAGCATGCTGGGAGGAAGGGCTACCGAGTATGTACAAATGAATGACCTTGACCCACTTTCAAGGTCACAGGGGTCAAATGTCTTAAAATATTCAAGCAACATCTTCTCAATAACCGAAAACCCCAGGGTACTGATATTTGGCCTTTAGCATGATGGGACGAAGGGCTACTAAATTTGTTCTTATTAATGACCTTGACCCACTTTCAATGTCACAGGGGTCAATTGTCTTAAAATCTTCAAACAACTTCTTATCAGTAAGCAAAAGGCCAAGAGTACTGATATTGGGCCTGTAGCATGCTGGGATGAAGTACTACCAAGTTTGTTTAAATGAATGACCTTGACCCACTTTCAACCTAATATCCTTGTTCAACATCTTGGTCACAGGCGTCATATGTTTAAATCTTTTTAATAGGTTCCAATGAATCAAACACTGATATTCTGCCTGTAGCTCTATTTTAGTCCACTTTTAAGATTACAAGTGTGAGATTAATACCAGGTGAGCGATGCAGGCCCATTGGGCCTCTTGTTGCAATGATCACTTTAAGCTTCTGTATTTGAGGCTGAGCAAAATTATATTAAAATACCCTTTGAGTTTTTAAAGACTTATATTTTCAATATCCGCTGATGCTTATGCATTACATTAACTTGAATTTATGTTTCAGTCACCAAGCAACAGCCATGCATGTGCCAAAGCTTTGTATAACTACGAAGGAAAGGACCAAGGGTAAGAATCAACTAGGTGAAAAATGGTCGGGATCAAAAGCTGAATAATGTATAATTACCATTACCAGACTATGCCTAAGTTAATCTTATAACTGGTACAGTTAATTACTATTAATTCCCGTATAATGCTAATCTGTTTTACTGTAAAGCAATTTAACACTAATTTTACTGGTTTATAAAACCAAAATAAGTATTGCTAGGAATTGTTGTCCATATGGCTATGTTCCATATCATTTGTAATACTGTCAAAAATGGCCTTGTGATTTTTCTGTAACTGCAAATATTAAGAATATCAGTGTTTGATTCATTGGAACCTATTAAAAAGATTTAAACATATGACGCCTGTGACCAAGATGTTGAACAAGGATATTAAGTGTATGTGTCATCAAAGGTTTGTTTGTTGTTTTGTAGAAATTCTATTTTAATCAGTTTATATGCAATTTATAAAATATGTAAATGTGTTTTAGATATGAAAGGAATGTCAATGATGCACAAATAATGCAAAATGCATATGTGCATGTATATATATATATGAGAAGTTTGTAAACGTGATTGAAATTGTGTAAATGCTTCATATTTTACAGAGATTTGTCCTTTCGGAAAGGTGACATGATTCTACTTCGGAAAAAGGTAGATGAAAACTGGTTTCATGGGGAACTTGGTAATCAGCATGGCTTCTTTCCAGCTAGCTATGTACAGGTATGTTTAATGTGTTATGTGTGACCCATGAAGTTTAAACTACACAAAGACCTTTTTGCTTCTTTTCAAGTATTTCAGTTGGCCATTCCCTATAAAAAAACCTTTAAATTTTGAATATTAAGCATATGGCATGGGCCATCGCTCCTGTTCATTCTAATGTTGCGGAACTGGACTGGTTCGATCGCTGTTGACCAGGTAGCTCAATTACTGAAGTGTCCGTCTAGAGTTTGGAGGGTCCCGGGTTCGAACCCCAGTCTGGCTGTTACATTTTCTCCCTCTTCTATTTCAAAATTGGTGAGCTGGCCAACCCTTGTTTCAAACATTGGGAGTATGCTTAATCAGCAAGGGGATACCCAAACTTTGGTTGTAAATAGTTGTGTCTTCAGGAGCGAAGACTTAGAAAAAGGAGGGAGGAATATAGCAGAACTGGACTGGGTCGATCAATGGTGACCAGGTAGCTCAATTGCTAGAGCGTCTGTCTTGAGTTCAGAGGGTCCAAGGTTTGAACCCGTCTGGCCGTTTCATTTTTTCTTTCCCCTGTTACACTAATCATTATGCTTATAAAGCAAGGTGTATTGAAAAGAATCTGTGAAATCAGTTGTGACAGTCAAAAGGTTCCTCAGATTATATAATCAAACCCCTGGTTGCATTTTCCATTTTCCCCACCTATATAATTAATTTGGGTCAGTAATCAGCGCCATTCCCAACATAGTTTACCTTGTGTTTTTGTAAGTCAAGTCTAAGAATCCCAAAATGTCCCTGATTTTATGAAACCTAAAAAAGGAAATCTGGAAAAGTATGTTTGTTTAGCTTTTTATCATCTCGGCCGTAGTGCGGGGTCACTATTGCCCTTGAAAAACACATGATTACTGTCAGTATGTGAAGCATCTGTTACATGCTGTGTTAACCAGAGAGTATGACCACTGCAATGTCTATCCAATCCATCTGTGTGCCAGTCGGAAATATTACGCAAAAATGAAAAGGAAAAAGCACAATTTTTCTAGTCTTTTCTAGACACTCTGAACAGAATTTGAATTAATGACTTTTCAATGCTTCTAAATGCAATTACGTTGTATGCACTACTGTAGCTGTAAGTAGATTGTGTTTTTAAGACTACCATATATTTAATTATTTTTATCAAGGTTGTCATCCCGTTACCTGTCACTACGCCCCAGTGTAAGGCCTTGTTTGACTTTGAGGTGAATGATTCAGAAAAAGACTGCTTAGCATTTAAAAAGGTAAGCAAATATCTTCAATAAAAATCACTACATGTGCTTTAGAACTTAGTGTGGTTTTCAGAAAATTGGATTTTATGCAACCTATTTAATAGTACAAAACTTGCAAAATTGTATTATCTTATCTGTATAGGTATACATTGTATTTAGAATTGTATATGCTCTGTCTAAAGTGAAATTACAATTAAGTATGATTTGAATGAATTTTCCTTTGTTTTAACAGGAAGAATACTTGACTGTGATAAAAAGAGTGGATGATAACTGGGTGGAAGGGAAGAAAGGGGAGAAAATTGGCATCTTCCCCATCTCCTTTGTGGAGGTAAGTGTCTGAACAAGAGTTATCTTCCTTTGATTGTTTTAAAATAAAGTCAGGCAACAAGTAGCCAATTTTGTCCTATGGGACTTGCTATTTCAACTATTAATTCTAAGTCATTCTCCTATTCCTATCTTATCAGTAAGAATGTACAAACTGGAATGTGTGTTTTTTTGAAATAATAATCATCCATGTCATGTTATTTCAGATAGGAAAATCCTTTAATAAATATGATGTAAAGTATTTCTGTGATTAGCACCAAGATCACTTTGTTACAGAAAAGCATACCTGTAATTGGTATTATATAAATGTTCTTTCATTTTCCTTCAGATGAATGATGCTGCCAAATCATTAATCAACTATAAAGCAAAGTAAGAACAGTTTTATCTGCATTGTAAATCGGCTGCATATGTTGTGTTATACGTGTTTTGCATGAGCTCTATGTTGTTGTTTTGTAAAAAAAAAAAAGTAACTTTTAGAAGTTGTTTACAAATAACTAATTTTAATGAAGGAACAATTTTTGGCACATTTATAATGTACTTTAATCTGGGTCATGATAATGGTTTAAGTTAATTGGTTCATCAACTTTAAATCTCTCATTGTTTTATTGAAAATTGCCTTGAGAAAAAAAAGCCACTGACAAAAGTGTGGTTTTTTTTTTGCAGTTATGCTTAGATAATTGCATAACTCATAATAACTTCTTCTATTTCTTTTAAATTTGATTCTCAATATTGCAGTTTAGATTATATTTATCTTATATATTGATATCATTATTTATACAACTTTAATTTAAATTTTTGTACTTAATATTCCAATTTGTGTCTGTTTAATGTTTCCCTTTATAGATGTGTTATATAGATGTATGAACATTTTGTAGTTTGAAGTTACTTTTAATTTCTGCAACGAAAAACCTGTTTTTTTGTTGTTGTTTTTTTGTTTTTATATATTTCTCTTTTCCAAATTTGGTGTTTATTTTTTAAAATCAAAACAACAAAAAGAAAGTTCCCAATATATACAATAAAGGAGTTTATCAGTGCATGCAAGCTAAAAATAAAAATAAACATTCATCAAAGGATTTATTAGAAATGAAAATTATAGTTTATATCTTTTGTATCATTTCTGTGGAATAAACACCAAAGTAGTCAATGGTATGACCTACCCTGTGTATGATTTGTGTATGTCACTGTTGTGTGTGCCTACTTTTCAGAGTACCTATGCATGCATCAAGAACTCCAACCAATGGGGACAGGTCAAATGGGGAGCGAGTCCCTGCGGCCCCTCCCCCTGGTTTCAATAAAAACACTTCACAAAGGGTAGCTCCCATTCCAAAACAAAAACGACACTCGTTCCATGCTTCATCCCGCCATCGGTCACATTCTAGTCACGAACAGCGTCATAGAAGGTAAAAATGGCTGCACCCTTATAAATGTGTACACTACTAATATACATAAGTTTAACCAACATTGAATTCTACAGACAGCTGGCACAGAGACATACATGTTATGCACATAAAATTAGGAGATTAAACTATTGATTTGTTATAAGACTTGACATTATGAAATTTAATAAAACCAACATCAAGTTAAATAACAATCAATACATGTAATATATAAAATTGATGTTGCATAGATAACAATTTTTTGACCTGATGAGGATAAAGAAGACTTGATCAGCCATGTCAAAAAATTCAGTTGGCATCTGTAATGTATTTTAGAAATTTTAGAACCAACTAATTAAAACCTGGCTTAATTACCCTACTGCTCATAATTTTTCATAATAAATTACCTGACAGTCCTTAACACTTTAGATTAGTAACAGTGCATGTTTCTTTCTCATCGATAATTGTGATAATAATTAATCAGTTAGATTTTTCAATAAGATGATCAATTATAGATTGTCATAATTTATGGTAAAAACTGAAATCTCTGTCATTTGAGTTTCATTTTGTATTGAAGATAAAAACAAAAATTGGAGTACTATGGAGCAGAAAAAAAGATCACTAGTAACAAAAACCATGTTAAACAACTACGTATATATATATACTACTATTATAAATTTAACTTTAAAGAGCAATAATTACATAAACAATGTTAAACAACTATATATATACTACTATTATAAATTTAACTTTAAAGAGCAATAATTACATAAACAATGGTAAACAAGTACAAGTATATTACTGATTTAGTGCTTAAACTGTTTATAATAGCTATTTAATTAACTGATGAGGATTTCATTGTAAATGCCATAAATCAGTTTTTTGAGTGTCATATTTAAAATTAAAAACTTCCTGTTGAGCTACTAAGTGATGATTTGTACTCATATTTCTGATTCTGTGGTTTTGAACCTGCATGATTGTGTGCCTGCATTTGGCAGTGCTATTCTGTCTTCTAATAAACCCCAAACTGTGTAAAGTTCTGCGGGAGCTTCATATCTGTAACCATTTCTTGATTTAAGTTATGAAATTACTTCAATTTTGTCCATGAAAATTATGAATATGTTATGCATCTACATAAAAATTTCTATTACATACTATTGATACATATATGTGTGATATTCAGTTTAAACACATTTTGAAATTTATTTTGATATTGTAACATGAATTGATGAAGTGGATTTTAGGGGTACATGTATTTGAATATCATTTTCTGTGTTCATGTACACCTGAATATAAAGTAAACAATGGTCCAAACGAGCAAAAAGTACAACTTTGTTTAGCTGTGTTGAGTGATACTGAACAAAATGTTGGTAAAATGTGATTTTCAGCTTCAGATTATCTACTACTCGAAAAATGCAGAGGTAAAATTTTCTAAACAAACGTTATATATTGTTTTGCAGATCTTTAGATATCAGCAGTAACATTGCTGGAAATCTGATTATACCTGGCTCTACTCCTCGCTCCATGTCACCCCCGCCCCTCCCCATCTATAACCAGGAGTCTCACGAGGGAGCTGCTGCTGGCAAAAGTTCCTCATCCAACAGTTCAACACAGGTAATCAAAACAAAACAGTCATCTGATGAAATAGGTTGTTCCCTATTTCGTTTTCAAAATTTGGTGAATTTATATTGCTTTGACCTTAATTAGGTTTAGTAATTTATATAAAAGCATTGCCAGTAACACATAGTTAGTAGTTGTGAAACATTTTAATGGTTGTACATTTGTTTAAATGATTGGACTAAGGGAATATGATTTTGAACAAACTTTGAACCAATTATGAAAAATACTCGGAAAGCAAATTACACAGTCTGTAAATTAAGATGCAAAATTTAATATTATGTGATATTATATATCTTGATATTATATTTTGATAATATTTTTGACTCGTTAAATTGCTTCAGGATGTTAAAGTTGCTGGTGCTGATGGCACATCATCAAATACTCAGAAAGGGTCACCACATGATGGGCTTAAGGCACCACCAGGCATTAATTCAGCCATGTAAGTATTACAAATGAACTTGAATTATTTATGAACGTATAAATGAGTACGGTAGCTATTATTTTTAATTGTCATACAAAATATAATATGATGTACATGCCATATTCACGTACATGTCAATGTATTTTCAAGATTGCAAGGTCTTGCATTGGTTAGAGTAAAGTGGGAATCATCAGAGAAAAAAAGTATACAATGAACTTAAATTTTAATTGATAAAATTATACCTAGCAAATCAATGTACTGGTTTATGTTTTGTATATGATTTCCAATCCTTCCCTTCGTGCAGACATGTGGCGTTGTACAACTACAAGCCTACCAAGGAAGATGAAGTGGAGCTGAAGAAAGGAGATTACTACACAGTGTCGGACAAGTGTCAGGATGGCTGGTTCAGGGGCCAGTGTCTAAAGTCTGGTCGTACGGGGGTATTCCCCGGTAACTACGTCCAGACCGTCAGGTATGTGGCAGACATTGTCAGCCAGACTAATTATGAGGAAGGAACATTAAAGTGTCAAATGTCTAGGTTTTCTATTTGGTAACATCAAGACAGTTAAAAATGTATCAGAAAAGTTTCATGGCATTACTGCATATCTAGTTCATCTTTCTTTAGTGATTTGTTCAGATTGGAGTGTAACCTTTGAATTGTTGATATGATATTGTGATATATAAAAGAGGAGAGTGTTTCGATGTTAGAAATGAGGGAAATAAAGATTTATTTATTTTTTTAACAAAATCTTTGGGATGCAATGCATTCTTTTATTCTTTGTAAAATAAAAGTGATAAAGTGGGTTTATGATTTAACATTCCCCTGGTACTTATGTACTGTTGTATCAATATTTCAAAAGTAAATCAAGAACTGTAAATATTTTTACTGATGTTGCAGACACCAGAGTGCTTTTCGTGCTGTTGGAAATTCCAATGTGTTGAATATACGAGCGAAGCCACAAGTTATATCAGCCCCATCAACAACCACAGCTGCTGCCCCAACTTCATCTGTCCCACCGTGCGCCTCCACAGCCTCAGCAGCTGGGGTCACACCTGTGTCTGGGTCACCACAACTCGACGCAAGGCGCAGTCGATCACCCACGCGTAATTCTGTGACTCCCCCTAGAGCCACGTCGTCGCCCCAGCCAACCAGCAGTCGTGCCAAATTACCATCTCCACCATCATCTGTCATAGTTTCCACTTCCTCCTCCTCATCACCGTCCTCTGTGTCAGTTTTGTCCAGCTCCAAATCCAGCCAGACGACAACGTCATCCTCATCTGTGTCGTCGCGGTCTGTTACTCACTCATCTGACAGTCGTACAGTACCCACTGGTGCTAATGCTCAGGTATTCCACTCATCGCACAAATCCTCAAGTCACTCATCACACAGGTTAGATCGTTCCAGCTCTGCCCACAAATCATCGTCGTCTAGCACTGCTGCCAGTCACCAACATGTACCCAAGCCTGGCTCTGTCGGCATGACAAATTACCATTCTCAGCGGTCTGGCACCTCCACTAATCACCAAGGACCAGCATTCCTGTCACCCGAGTTATTAGCCATGCAGAAATCAATGGCTACCAGTGCTAACATCACACCACCCAATGTTGTCATAGGGCCATCTGGGGACGGACCCATTGCAGCTCTTCAACCTTCCAAAGACAAAGTAAGTTGTATGATCAAGTGGATTTCAAACTATTTTCTGGAAAAAAAATGTCAAGCATTTGATATTTTTTATATAGTTGCAAATAAGAATGACAAAATTCCAAGACTTTGAAGCCATGTTATGAACCAACTTAAACATTTTGATGCACAGGAAACATTTAACTAGGTTTGTAATCAATATTCATATGAAATGTTTGATTATTTGGTGAACGATTTTTTCCCTCTATTAGTGATTTAACCATTTTAGTTGTTTTATTGATTAAATAATCATAAATTATAATCATATTTCTATTTGAACAGAAATGTCAGAAACACTTTTGTTTTAATATTGATATGCTGAGCAAATACATTTTCAGACCTAATGATGAATATGTCATTTGACAGTATGTTGGCATGAAATTCAGTGTTTTGCCTAGGATTAAAGCACTTCAAGTTTGACTGAACCAAGCTTGTACAAGACACTGTCCTGTTATAGCTTCTATACAGGAGGCACGGAAGTCCAGTGGTAGGACGCCAAGCTCGTGACTGAAGCGTTACGGGTTCGAGTCACGCCAAGACACTGTGTTGTATCTTTGAACAAGATACTTCAATTTACTCCACTTGTTCCAGTTAACTACTCAGCTGAAAATGAGTACGAGGATATAAAATGTGAATGATTCATAAAAAAGACTCCAGTGAGCGAAAACCCCATATCACTACTCTGTAAATTAAAGTTGCAGGAAAATATAGTTCCAAGCTTGAAAATGATGAAAATTTTCACAAGTTTTGAATATCAGAATTATCACCAGTAAAATATGTACATTCACTTGATTTCTTTTTTAAGGTTCCTAATGTTGTAAAGATGAGTTTTGAAACACACAATTTTACTAAGTGTTATGGCCATCCTTCATTCATAAACTAAAGCTTTATAGCTGGCTCTCAACCTCTTTGTAAGCCCAACTCTGATTGGAAGGCACATGTTTACAATTGTTTTGATTTTAATACTTAAAAAAAACCATATCAATTTTACACAGTCAGAAGATTACCTTTTCTTAAAAACCGTGACAGTACCATTAAGAAACTTTAAGACAGCTGTGATATCAGAAGACAGCATTTGATTTTGTAAATAGATTTTAACCTATTGTACAGATGAACAAGTACAATTGTATTTACAAATCACGTGGCATGGGTTGGTTTTCAAAAAACTGTGAACGATAGATCTAGACATTCTGACATGTTCAACAGACATTTTCATCCATAGGAACTGGTCACGTTTTGGTGTTTGAAACACATTTATTTTACAGATTAATCATTCAGGGAATCTAAGGTACTTCAAACCTTCACGTCGAAGCCTGTTATTTCTCAACCTGCATATCTCTCAACCTGCATATCCTTCAATCATCCCACAACATTCTCAGCACTTTGGCGTCCAATCAAACATTTTACAGTAGCATCATTTATTTTCGTGGGGTTAAAATTTCGTGGTTTTCATATACTAGCCTGTTTCAAGGACATTGTATTTTGTGGATTTTTGGTATTACACGAAATAAACGGAAATTTATGATTTAACAGTACTCATTGTTTTACCGAGTAATTAATCCTTGTCGATATGAGTTGTGTATTCTGAGACACTGCTAGAGATTCAATATTTTTACCTTTCATTTAAATCCAGAAGGAGAAGCGAGACAAGGAGAAAATCAGTCTTGTGAAACGTTTGACCTCTGGGAAGAGTAGAAAATCCAAGTCAACAGCAGTAGAGGATGCGGGATCAGCGGCCGCTGCAGCCTCCGGAGCAGCAAGCTCCCTTGTGTTGGAAAACAATAACACTATTTCCCATGTACGGTCAGGCTCGTGTCCCTCGGACACCTCCAGTCTGTTGTCAGTTGAGACCCCTTTACATGTAAAGACTGGCTCGTTTGACTCATCTGTCGCCCCTCCACAGCCATCCAAACCAAAGAGACCAAACCCTCCCCTCAGGGAAAAGTGAGTATTGTTATAAAGCAAACTTTAAGATGGTCATCCCTGTCTTATGTCCTAATTTCACTGTACTTAACTGAAGAGTGTTCTTAACCTGAATACCATTAAAATTAGACAGTTTTCTAATAAATGCTTCTTATAATTAGATATATACTTATTGTTAATGGTTGTTTAAAAAAGTGTAGAATGGGAATTTTTTTTCTGCAAGTTGAAATTTTGTGATACTTGTGCCTGCTCATTACTGTGTAAGGAGAAATGTTTGGCCTTGTCAAACTTTCGCGGTTTGCCAGTAAAATCCATATTCGTCTTGTGTTAATTTCGCCTTCACATTTAATCACTATGCAAATTATGTTGTTACTTATAAATTTGCTCTCATTACGGAAGGGGAAAAAAGGTGAAAAGATAAACTGCAGCAAAAATGTCCTGGCATACAGTTTATAATATGATTTATAATTGAACTTTCATAACAATGATTATACATACTTGTTTATAGCTTTCATATGTTGTGGTTGTTATTTTTCTTTTCTTTTTTTTCTCCATTCTAATGTATATGTATATATATATATATATAAATAATTGAATTATGCGATATCAAGAATTACTGTATCTCAAGTTCATTAAATAGTTTTTTTCTCTTGGTTAAATTTGGCATTGAATAGCTATGTCACCAGAGGTTATATTTCATATTAATAAGTTGTTTTATGTAAAACTAGTCTTAGATGATGTATGAGATTGTGTTAATGTTTGTAAATTTTGTGAGGGTTTTTACTCTACAGGTGTAGATGTGTTGTACCATACCCTCCTCAAAGTGACATTGAACTAGAGCTTAAGATCGGAGACATTGTTAACGTCCACAAGAAACGTGATGATGGATGGTACAAAGGTACTCAGCAGAGGACAGGGAAGACCGGATTGTTCCCAGGAAATTTTGTTGAGAAGTGCGTCTAAATTATTCTTCACCAAAGAAATGATACTCGAACAAAGCCAGACAACCCATCTCAATTTAGTGCTAAGATTTCAAGGTAAAACCTTAATGTCTGTTATAATGAATTTAAATGAGAATGATATTCTAGTAAATCTTGTGTGAAACTTCATATGATGAATTTACACTATTTAGACAAAGTTCTATGCAATACTTAGCTCAAGCAAAGCCAAAATAACGTCTGAAACCATTGAGTTAAAGAATGCTGTATGTCCTAACAAGAGCATATACACCTTAACCCTATCACCCCTAAGTAACTTGAGTCGACTCTATCATACATTCATATGGATGAGTCCATTATGGTCTACAGTGGTGAAAGGGCTAGTGAGGATGCTCCCCGTACAAGTCTGTCTAGTGATTTTAATATTTACCAAAAGGCGTTCAAAAATGTTTATCTTGTCTTTGAATTAGAAATTATCAACAAATTAACAAAAAATAATTTTGTTAATGTCAAAAATAAATTTGTTTTGGACAAACTTTTACTCTGTAGAGTGGTTTGACTGCAGTCAGTGGAATCAAGTTCTTTCATGATCTTTTCCATAGTTGTAGAGAGAGATACAGATGACAGTGAAACAAGGAAATACCGTACAATTTCACAAGAAAAGACATATCGATTAATACTTTGAATCACAAATGGATGGAAATACATCTTAGGCTATTCCATAATTTATTGTTATAAGGCGGATGTGGGAGGCACTTGTATTCATATATTATGGTTGGTGGGGTTAAATCCAGGGCCTAGCTGTATTCATGAAACCCTTCTCATGCTTAAACTGAGATTCTGTGCTCAAGCCCATTATCTTGTTCTGGTGATAAATTTAGGAACACAACATTTTGTTAAGAATTTAGAAAAAATCTTGAAGTGACTTCAAACAGAATATTGTTTAAAATGACTTATTGACCTTATCACATGATTTATGTTCGTTTAAAGAAAGTTGCCTTGAGGACAGAATCCATGCTTGGGCACGAGAACGCTTTCATGAAAACCGGCCCAGATGAGCCTTATGTTCCTAATATCACTTTTAAGATTTTATGGGTTATGGTAGCTGGAATAGTGCCTAGCTAAAAAAAAAAATCTTTAATATTGTAACGCCATTTGTCAACTATTCAGTCCATGCCTGAAGCTCTTGTTAGGACATATAGTACTGTTTATTAACAATATATGCCAGAACTTAATTAACAGGACTCAAATTTCAACTAGTCCTTGAGCATAATTTTTGAATAAATTATTATAATGATGTTTATTGAATTGAGAGGAAGAGGTCACTATAGAATCTTGAAATGTTTTTGCAGAAGAAAGCACAAAATTGATTTCGGCCAGTGTATATTGTCATTTTGTTCAGGAGAAACCACTGAAAATATTTCATTAGTTCTTGATACAAAGGAAGGAAAGTTCTTGTTTATATATATTTGAAGTAAAAAATTGGCTAAATGAAAATTAATAGTGAATGTTTAGCATGACTAGTTGTATAACTGGCACTAGCAAGTGAATGAAACGAAGAAATGAAAGTCCACCAGTCTATTTGAAAACAATTTTGAAGAAAGCTTTTATGATTGCAAAAAAAAAAAACACTGTAAAACTGCCATTTAGAAGTTGACAGCTCCGAACAATAAACCCACCATACTCAAAACTGCAAGATATATATCATTGTAAGTAATTTTTTGAAATTTTATTCTTTTCCAAGCTTGTGTTGTGTACTGGTTTAAATATAATCTCATAATGTTAAAGAATCACAGATATTTCACAGATTATTCCTGTGACAGTGAAATGGTGCATATGTTGACATTGATTAATGAATTGGCTGATAGTTTGAATAAATGTTGTTTGTAAGAAGATGAACAGGGCTTTCATGTGTAATACAAGTATGGAGAAGTGTAACTTATCAGTTGAATGTACAAGATTTACTCTCTCTTTTTTGCAACACAAATATTTTATTTTATTAAAGTTCAGAAGTACAAAATAATGGTACATCAGAAATATTAAGTTTGGTAGTCTTACATTTGATATAACATACATTGTATATCTGTTTCTAAAAAGTAATTGGAATGGCTCAAAGAAATATTGAATAAATCAAAAAGATATATATTCTGAATTATAAGGACTTGGCAAAGACATATTGAAAATTATAATCTTTTAAGGGTCTGAAACATAAAAAATGTGTAATATATTTACAGTTCTCGTCGATAAAGATAAAAACAACTTAATTTTAAGATACCTGTAATTCTGAAAATCATTATGGCCATCAGGTATTGTTCACATGGCTTTATGGTCAACATTATTAATTAATCAGTTCCAATCAAAAACATACCTCTTGCATAATCATATAATATACCCATGTTATATGTACACACATCCAATCAACGTCTCAGATTCTACTTGGCAGCAAGCACTCTGTTTAAGACGCTATTTAACTAACAGTAATACCTCAACATTCGTTTTCATCTTTCCAGCGGCTCCTTTTTTATATTTAATTATATTTAGGGATTGAAAGATAACACTTCATGCCAGCAGCTTTGAAGATGTCGTGTTTACTTCGAAATCATACGTACTCATGATATACGCCGACAAGTATTACACGTCCATGTAACGAGGATCCCGAGTGGACCTAAGTAGTACATGTATCTGTGTAATACGTGGATGTTATCAACACAAGTCCACTGATTCCTAAAACAAACATGGAAACTCTATTAACAATCATAAACAATCACTATGCAATTTTATTTAGGGAAAAAAAGTAAACATTGATCATGTACACGATATTTATTTAAGTACTCGGTGATGGATCCAAAGACTGATCTGACAGGTGGGGTTTCTATTTATGGGTGGTGAGATTATAAATTAGAAAATGTATATAAATCAAACTGATCTACCGCTGGTATCAATAAATGACAATACTAGTTTACTGAATTAAACATTGCCACAAAGATTCAAGTTTCTAGTATACATTGTAATGAGTGCATATTGAACGTGACAGTGTTAAAATAACGCTTCAATTTATAGATGGTATTAAGACAACATGTTCAATCAGTAAATTCAAGATATATTTGTCTTGTGGTATTGTGGTTAGACATATGTGTATCTCCAGCAGATCTTGACAGCTCTGATCTTGATACAGTCTATGACCTGCTTCAATAACTTAATTACATATTTATTATACTAAGTCAAATGTTTTTTATTTATTTTTTCAAATACACCTGGTTTAAAAATTAAGGTTAGGTGTATCATGGTTTCTCTTGAGAGTCTTATTGAACGGCAGAATGTTCATGTTTAAAGTTCAATAATTAGGAAAATATCATTGATTTAGTTTCTGTTCATCCATTATTAAGACTCTAAAGCTTGTTATATCGAAGTCCATATTTACACGTTCCCCAAGTAATGTCAGTAGAAATCAGTTAGGTGTTCTATATTTCTGTTGCCATGCATATTTCAAAACTTAATCACTACTATCTCTATGTCAGGAGATATCATGTGTGGCTACATGTATTTGTCTCAACGTTCACTGCCTCTCCCAATGTTTTGTTTTAGAAATCCAATATATGATTTTCAAAATGCTAACTTATAATTACCATATATTTTTTGTTTTGTCTTTTTTCCCCCCTTTTTTAATGTCAAATTTAAAATGTTACTGAGATGTTGTGTTTAAAAAGATCATTTATTTTTATTTTTTGAACATGATGAAACATTAAAAAAAACACATTAAAAAGTGTATTATATATACATGAGTATTTGATCAATTAAACAGATATAAAGCAGATAGGATTGTAAGCTGAGATACCATGTACAGTATTTAACAGTTATCTTTGTTAATTCAGACTCCTGTCAGTCTAATCATCTTGTTTTTGGACACCTGGACATGTACTTTAATTTATATTTTCAAGATTGTATTCCCTGTTTAAGAGTGTAATGATTAATCTAAATAAATTACGTACTTAAAGCTTGGAAACTGGGAAAAAAGTTACTGTGAAATCATTAATTTTTGTGTATTTTTTTCAATATTGTTGATTTCTTAGGTAATCTTCTTCAACGAATTCATAGTGCCACAAAGTAATTACAAGTTTGATATAAAGCCATTCCCCATTTGAGAGGGTACTAGTAATCCACAAATTCATGTACCCATGAAATGATGTTTTGTTGGGAAACCACTGAGTTTGAGCCCCACGAAAATATCTGATTTTTCAGTAGTTCAGTATTTTTGGATTAAAAATAAAACTTTGTGTAGAAAGAAGATTAAATTAAAATTTCTATTGACTACTCTTAGGATTTAATACGGGAAAACAACTCTCCTAGATATGTGTTTGCCATTTTGCCGGCTAAGTGATATGTTCTGTTAAAGGAAGTATTTTGTTACTGCAGCTGTACTACATCATTATACACCTACGAGATTGCTTGCAAGCATAATCTGGTGGAATTCACTTCAAATGCATGCCCGTGCAGCATGTGTATTTGTTGATATTGAGAGATATACTATACCCAAGTATGACTGACAGAATATTGTGATAGACATATGTACAGTACATCACACTTTATTTTTTAATGAAAAATAAAAAAAAAACGTCTACCATTTTTGGATTTGTGCATGATTACGTTTGCTTAGAGATTGACAGTTGTTGGTACTGATATTTGGTGTGAAGAAGGAATTAGGACTTCTTTATATAAAAAAAAAAAGAGTTAATTGTTTCAATACTGTTACGTGGATTATTTATCTATAAAAACGATGTATTTTTGCATACCCTTCACCGTTACCGACCCAAACAATGCAGGTTTTAGTTGTGTTTCATTTGATACTTTTTGTATCTTATTTCTTAATAAATCTTTCTTCGAATCAAATTGTTATATAATTTAAAGACTGTTTATGCTATTCTACTTAAAATATTAGCTCACAGTTATTGAATAGAAAAACAAGCTCTCCCGAAATTGATGTTATATGTTATTGCTTTGTATTCATGTCAATGTAAGAAAATGTGCAGGTAATCAATCATGCAATTTACACCAAGACAAAGAATCACAACATTGTATAATATATTTAAGGAGTACTGGGGAGTGTTCAGTATTTGCAGTAATGTGAATTAATTCATCATCATTATAAATTGAAATTTATTTTGATGAATGTGTTCTCATCATCAATTCTAAAAGTTTGAAGCAAATGCCAGAATTGTAATTAATGTATACCACCGGCACCTAGCTAGCGGCCTCAGTTACTTTATGTCTAAAAGATTCTGTCCTTATAAACAATACTGAATGATACAAGTCTTTGCTTCATAATGAGGTTAATGCACTTTATGTCTTACACCAAAATCTTATCACTAATAGCAAAACGTAAATGATTTAATTACTTTTTAATGAATAAGACAACACTCTATGTGCCATCTACACCTATTTGTTTTACAGCTCATGGAGAAATTAGTATAGTACACACAAAGAGCTGAGATTAATTATATTGTAAGCTGTACACTCCGAATTCATTTTGTGAGATTTTCGATGGGTGTTTGTGAAGTTGGGTGCAGTACTTTAAGGTGATGGATGCTGTAGTGCTTTAGATTAGTTCATTAAAGGAACAGCTGCCTACTGCAGAACGGATATTGAAAGAAAGGTGTGTATATATATATTGATGCACGTTTATGATTTAAAAGTGCAAATGTTGAACATGTTACCCTTTTATTAAGGTACACATATTTCAAATGGTAATTTTCTTCAGCATACTGATATATTTATATGAAAAAAATATTAAGAAATATTAAGAAAATGACAATCAAAAATCCATAAATTACCAAAAAAACACAATTAATCGTGATGTCAAAGCTACTTTCAAAACACTTTTTTGGTAAAGTTACTGGTAGAATATAGGAAGCATATATATCCATTAATTACATTCTTCAGGTGTTGATATTAATCTTCATCAGAAATATGAGCAAATGTTCTTTTTGATTATGTTCTTTTGGTCAGTTTGTCAGTGATAATTTATTAAAGCAGTTGGTAGACTCTGAAGTGTTGTGATGAATGAAGCACTTGCAAGATTACCTGTTTAATAGTTAATGACTTTACACCATTATTTTGACAGAGGATAGTTGATAAAAACAGCTTTTATTTTTCTATGATCTCGACCTTAAGTTCACCATTAAGTACTTTCTAATTTGTTGCATCGAACTTACATCGAAACAAATAGAAAATTTGGAAAAGGGGAACAACGAATATAAAAAAAATGCCCTTACATCACACAGTTATGTAAAAAAAAAAAAGGGCACCTGTTCACCACACGTTACGGTCACAAGTACTTTCGAAATAAATTGCTTTTGTATCTTCATTATTTTTAAACACTTCTTGAAAAGCTAAACACATTTTTCAGTTAGTTCTATTGGTACGTCGTTGTAATGGAAGGCCTGCAGAAAAGGGCAACATATTACGTGCGCGTCAACTCATGCAGGGCTGTTCACACCAAATATCAGCAGCCACGGAAGTGAGAGGGGGTTTATAGCGAAGCTGTGTGAGGTAGACAAGAGACCCAGGGATGCAGGTTTTATAGAGTGAGAGGCAGTATGAGGCGAGTGAGAAACCCAGCACCTGTTGATTATATCACTGTACGGTGCGCTGTAGAGTGATTGACATCTAACGTATCTTGATGGCATGCAGCATATTCATTATCTTAAATCACTTGTTTTTGTTATTTTTTTTGCTACATTTACTGTGTTTATAAACCTGACTATCTGATTTAAATGTTTTCACATTCCATCTTATAGGAATCTAAGAGAATGCAGTGTATTGTTATACGAAGTATCATTAAGTGTACGATACTGCAGTGTCAAGAAAAAGAATTCAGTACATTTCAGAATTTAGTACATTTCCTAAGATAATTGACAAACGATGTCCCCAGGAAGACTTATGATATTACAGTAATATTGAAAAAAGCCAGTTGGATTGATTTTATTAAATTTTAGAATATGACCCTTTTTCTTGTTCAGTTCAGTAAACTAATTCGGTTTTAAAACATAATGGCATTTATGATTGATACATGCATAACAGATATTCAATACCTTACGTTAAAGTTGTATTGATAACAAAAGATGTGAAGATTAGAATGTCAGGGCTTTTTAACAAAATCTATATATTACTTGTTAACATGATATTCGTTTGCGTTGTTGGCTTGTTGTCCTTTTAATTTAACACATATATGAAGCGAGAGTGATACTAATAGGTTACGAAAGAGAAACGAATTGTTTGGTTAACTTTTTGTGTTTTCTATATTTTGTATGGAGGGGCTCGTAGCCTGCGTTTGCATTATATATATGTCTTTTGAGTAGAAGACCTAATGTACTAGCCAAATCAACATGTGTCGTGTAAGATTCCTTTTTTTTACTCTGAAGCAATAGTTTATGTTATTTTGCTGTACATAAATGATAAATAAATCTACATCTCGTTTTATACTATGACAGTGTTTGTGTGATTTCTATACGGTCCTTCATTAAAAGTAGGAGGCACGGTAGTCTCCGATGATGTAGGTCAAAGATTCGTATTTTTCCAATCTTCATATTAATATTCATGACATAACTAAGACAGTTCATGACCATCTGCTGTTCGAGTCACGGCACGACACTATGTTGTATCTTTGAGCAAGATACTTTACTCCGCGTGTTCCAGTCTACTCGGCTGTAAATGAGTACGTGGTTGGGCAGTGCTAGAATTGTTGAATGTGCTCCCCAAGGAGTTTAGAAAGGTATTGGCCCTATAATCACGGATAATAATTTTTGAACCGCTTTGAGACGACCTACGAACTAGGTTGTGATAAAGCGGTATATAAGAACCTCGAATTATTATTATTATTAAAAGTCACAAAACAAGAAATATAAACATACTATGTTTACGGCCAAGGTTGATTAATGCTATTACATCAACAAAGACAACGACTTGGGACGTAAAACAACAGAAATACAAAGTAAGGAGCACCTATTTAAAAAGGAATAGTTTGATACTACATGTAATTCAAATTCATTTCGCAACTAATTAGTCTAGTTGTATTTGAACACAAAAATCCTATATTCGAAAACGTAGCATAATTTGGTCAACTGCTGTACGTGATAAACGGCTAACAGCATATCGACCAATGACCAGGTCAGAAGCTGCACTGACTTTAGATCAAACAAAAAATACCTTGTTCGAGATCATTTATGAGATTGTTCGGCACACTAATGGCTAGGCTTTTACCTCTGATTTACAGAAGTGACATGAAATTATTTGTACCAATGGCTGTTGTTTAGTCATATTTCCCTTTGTGCAAGAAGGATATGAAGATCTCGGGTAAATTTTGGTGTAGTGTTGGATCACCAGATTTGTAAACGCCAGTTATAAAATCATTGAATTTAGAAGTTGTACCACACAAATAATTTGCTGGCTTTGTGAATCTCTGTGATGCTATGGGGACACTCTTCCTCAGTATTTGTCGCCACGCGAGTTGTTTATTGCAGCTTCGTTGAAACATAAGGGCGGTTAAGAGCAGTACAAAGTGCACGGCCCACCTCTCAGGGTTTTGCTAATAGGAAAGGTGCGTCTAAGGATAGAAGTATTTGCCATGATTAAAACCTGTTCCCCTTGTCAT